GAAGGGTGCTGAACAACTAACCTGATGAAGTTTCAGCTCAGCTTCAGCTGTATGTTTCAAGACAAACAGTATTTAGGATCTCGATTTCACATCAGAAGTTGCTAAATCATGTTTTGAATTGGGCCTGAATTCAGCGTCCGAGACACGTTCTCACTGAGCGATTGGCAACTACGTTGGAAAGGACCTTCTTTCGTTGATTTCTTCAAATTGACAGCTTGCAGAAAGAAATAATTTCACAGGGAGTTTAGTCCCCTTACTATCTTTCAACCAAGTATGTTTTTCAATAATATTACGCCAGTTACTTTTTGGATAGCTGCAAATGATGGACTATAGCTTTAACCCCACTGGTGGAAGCAGTATTCAGAGAGCAATATGTAAACCCCTTCGAAACCCTGCAGGTCAGTTTTCAGGTGAGAGGGATACGAAGTGTTATTAGTAAAGCTGTGTCACACACAGAGTCACTGAACAAATAAAGCCAGCACTGTGGAGAGCAGTGAAGCATGACCAAATCTGCCTGCTTGCCCTGAGCTGAAACCACAGAAAAGAAATGTGCAGGGATTTGAAGTGTTATCCATACTCCACAGAAGATGACCTCGTAGGAATTTGATCAGTGTGGGTGCAAAAGTGGTTTTGCAACACCTGTAGATTGTGAAGGACCTGTAGGATTGCAGAAGACTAGCAGAGGTTTACTCAAGCCCCCAGGGCCTTTTTGCTTGGAGCCAGCCTCAATCCTCCCAAATCCCTCGAAATTGTGCACTTATGGTCAAAAGAAAGGATACCCACTGCCTCAATCCTTCAAAATCGTCAGACAGTCCTGCCCTAAAAAATAATGTATTCATCTTCAATCCTCCCAAAATCCTCCTTTTCTTCAAACACCATTCAGCCTCAATCCTCCAAAATCCTCTCTTCTTCAAACACCATTCATCTTGAATCCTCCAAAATCCTCCTTTTCTTCAAACACCATTCAGCCTCAATCCTCCAAAATCCTCCTCTTCTTCAAACACCATTCAGCCTCAATCCTCCAAAATCCTCCTCTACTTCAAAAACCAGTCAGCCTCAATCCTCCAAAATCCTCCTCTTCTTGAATTCAAACACACATTCATCCTCAATCCTCCAAAATCCTCCTCTTCTTCAAAACACCATTCATCCTCAATCCTCCAAAATCCTCACGTTTCAAAATCCTCATGTTTCTCAAACACCATTCATCTCAATTCTCCAAAATCCTCAAAACCACCATGAGGATTTAGGAGAATTGGTCCAAATCACTGGAATTAGAGGAGCAGTGACTCGCCAATCAAAACTTCAAGAGAGTCAAGTGTGGTTGTTTTCTCCCCCAGGGTTTTTCTCCAAGATGGCAAAGACAAAGAAAGCCTAGTCAAGGCAGCCGCCACCCCTCTTCTCCAACTTCAAAGTGGTCTACTCTCTGACTGCAGCCGTCAATAATGAATATGGCTACTCCGAGTAAGTGAGCAAATGAAACATTTGGAACTCTAATTTGTCTTCTTTTTTTTAACTGGATCACAATTTTTAGAATCTGATGCTCCTGGATTTGGAGTATCACTAGGTATTTATAGACAGGTGTTGACTGCTGTGAGTGGTGTAAAAAGTGCTTCCCGCATTCTGTATTCCCAGACGAAAGCGGGGGGGGGGGGGGGGATTGGATCATCATGCAGTCAATATTTCACTCACACATTTGGGTGACTTTGACGAAAAACAAGCTTGTAATTTTTTGTTGAAAGTTTGGATCGAAATGAACCTCGGTTTCCTCGTCTTCTGTGTTTGCTGCAGTGCTGTCGTCCTTTTCCGACCGGCCCACCTGAAAAAACAAATTTGAAGACGCCAAAGTGGAGATGACCGCAACCATCAACAGGGTCCAGATCGAGAAATTTGCCAATGACAACGGGAGGGTTGGAGATTGATTGTGAGGAGGGCCAGGCAATGAATTTGTAAAAGTAAAAAAAAAATTGACCATTATTTGAATAACGATACATGCTCTGTCACCTTACAATGTAAGTCATTCCATCAGAAAAACTGGACTAGAGTGCGCAAAACTGTATTGGATTGATCTGGAATGGCTGAACATTTCGTAGAATAAGCTGTGTTAACATGATGGAAATACGTAACCAGTCTAATTCACAAGAGACAGTCAGTGAGATAGGAGACCAGTCTAATTTAGAAATGACAATCAGTCAGTCAGTCAGTGAGATAGGTTACCAGTTTAATTAACAAGAGACAGTCAACAAGGGCCAAATTCAGGCAAGGACCATTAGTCGACCAGTGGTTGATTTGTGACGTACCTTACGCCTGCGCACTGATAGCAATGTGTGAAAGTCTCTAGTCTAAGTACGCTGGTCAAAATGTCGTCGCAAAACTTCTGGATCCTGGCTCTCTGCTTGCGATATGAATGCGCGCAGCTATTGGTTACCAGCTAACTAATTAACAAGTGATAGTAAGTGAGATAGGAAACCAGTCTAATGCACAATTGACAGTCCGTCAATCAGTCAGGTAACCAGTCTCATTCACAAGTGACAGTCAGTCGGTGAGATGGGTAACCAGCCAGCAGTGCGTGTTATCATGTCCTCCAATGCAAATTGGTTTTAAAGACGAGCGGGCGGGGGCGCATTTTGGTAACCCTATTGGTCCAAGGAGCCCGGCGTGCGTGCAACTCGTAGAAAAGCCTGAGGCCAATTTCATTGAGCTGCTTAAGCACAAAATTTGCTTAAGCACAAAAAAGTCTTGCTTAATAAAATCAGGTTACCGGCCAAAACTCCATGCGATTGTTATGCTATGCTAATAAACAACAGCTAAATACCAGTCACAAGCAATGCACATCACATGGAGTTTTGGCCGGTAACATAATTTTACTAGGCAATTTTTTTTTCGTGCTTAAGCAAATTTTGCTTTAAGCAGCTGTATGAAATTGGGCCCAGGGTGCCACCACAGAAAAATGGCTGTTGCCGAATGAGGCTGGCCCTCTGGAGCCACAAAAATTGCCATCTGTATGTGATAATTGAAACTAGACAGACAGATAGTCATGTATCCATTGTGTTTTAACCATCATTGCCACCTTATTTTCTTGTTTCAGCATGGGCCTGTGTGGCCACATGAAGCAGACAATCCGGATCTGTTCAGTAAACCACTCATCGTGGCTTACTACAACGTAGACTATAAGAAGAACCCTAAAGGTATGCTGTTTTTTAAATTTCTTCAGAACATCTGAGATTTGCTACACTCAATGTTAAGGTGTTTCTTTTGTGTTTCTATGGTTCTCATACATTTTTTTGCCTCCGAAGTAGGGTCGTTTTGTTGGCAAAAATGTTACTGTCCTCATGAAATAAAAAAAAAAATTGGCGGTGCATTGTATTATTCGGCTCTCGCTCATGGATATGTATGAAGATAAAATAAATAGTGTTGCTGTTGCTCACGAGCGGTTGATGTGCGCGATCGGTTGATCGCGCTGCGCTATCGGTCGATCATGACGCTATCAATCCTGTCAATCCTGCTGCCACCAGTCGAACACCTTTTCTTTCTAATTCACGGTTCTGGAGTTTCTTTTTTAAAAGGTAAGTAAAGTCTGTGAATTCCTACAGAATCGACTGATAGCACAGGGCGATGATCGATCGCGTAGATCAACCGATCGGGCCCAGCATTTACACTCCATTTTAATGCGAGTAAATTCTTCAGACCTAGTCCTGTCAGTTAGTACACTCTTGAAGTCCTAAACACTCGGATGATCATTGTGTTCAGAGTATCTGCTTTCAACTTGAAGGCTGTTTATTATCTAGAATTGACTTGTTTCCATTTTTTTATTCGTTGCAGGTACCAATTATTACCGTAATAGGTAAGTATGGCATTTATGTATTTAAATTTTTTGGCTGTCATCTATAGAGTACCGAAGTGTGATGCCATTTTGAACCGGGAAGTGTAGTGCAAACGAATGGAGTACGCGCGCGGGTTGGTTCAAGTGGCGGAATTCCGCACTAATGTATTTTTCACACATAATTGTGCGCGTGATGTATTCACTTCGGTACCCTATTGTAGCTTGTCAAGCTGTTGTAAGTAGTTGTAAACTGTTGTAAGCTGTTGTAACCCAACTCCTCTCTTAGTCTGGTTCCGAGACCTAAAGATCGTTACTTTCTGACAAATCTTAGGTCAGGTAGCCAAAATAAACATGACCCAAAAAATGGGCAGGATCCCGTCTGCTTCCGAACCTGTCTGAGGTTGACCGAATACATGGCGTTGACACTTGGATATGGTTAGAAAGTTGTGAATATGTCATAAACATTTTACCTTCTTTTCTGTAGGTTATCTGCTGTAGAATTAATTATTTAGCTTTTAATGGCTTTTTAACTGCAAACTTAAATTTGTTTTCGTTCGCAAACGAGAGCGGCTAATTTTTCCCACTTTTGAGAGCCCAGTATACAGGACCACCATGTGTGCGTACTGCATGGGGTTTGTTTATGGTGTAAATCGAGGACGCACATATGAACAATCCTTGTGTAATTGAGGACAGGAGTCAAATCGAGGACGTATTCAATTAGAGAATGTGTACAAAATGAATGGGAGCTGTTGCAAAGGACTTAAAGTATGAACAAAAGATTGATGATGAGAAACAAAAGGAAAAGCTTGATTACACCATCAACAAAAACATGTGTGCTCCATCCTTGCATACTCTTTGTGGACCTGAGAACAAAAGAGGTCCACAGGGTGCAGGAAGCGTGAACGTTTTGCCGACTTGCCCACGTCCACACAAGGTTTCCCCCTCTCTGACAAACAGGTTTAGAGGCATTTTGGGGTTAGGGTTATCAGCCGCAAAATGTAGAGGAGCACTCAAGGAAATCATGATAAAAAAAAATTGGGTTGAAAGAGTGTTCACAGTGCGAGTAAAAGAAATTGTTTCCCCGAAAACTGGTGAATTGTTTGTTGGAAAATGCTGAATTGAAGTTTTGAATTGTTTGAAATATCCGTCTCAGTGGTCTCTCCAAACTCTCCCTTTCTTACCATTGAGGGGGTACTTGTGCACGGAGCCCATAGAATCCGTATTAAGTGACCTCTTGGCAAATTCGATATCATTCACAGAGTGATGAAGGTGGCCAGGAATTACGTCGAGGAGGGCTTAACGTTTGCGGTTGCTAAAAGGGCGAGGGAGCGAGTTTAGAGCGAATTTAGACTCGGTTGGTATCTCCGGTGGCAGTGATGAAGTCAACGTTGTTGCCTGGGCAGCCAACGGAGATAAATTCAAGATGGAGGAGGCTTTCACGTAAGTTTTATACAATTTAGTCGTCCATTATTCTAACTTGGTGATCGAGATTTGCGTGCGCCTGTACTCGTCAAAAACATGACAAAAAGTTTTATTGAAAAAATATAAAGAACATGTAGCGGAATGGCAGATATTTGATTGATTTTAAAGAAGATAATTGGGGCTGATATTCCTCATGGAGCTCTCAAATCGGGCCCAAAAATGCTTTTGCCAAAAATGTGATATTTGACATTTATAAAGCGCACGTATCCCAAGTATTGGTCTTCAAGTCGCTACATCATTATTACCCTGCGCATTGGGCAATGAAACATTCCAAAGATAATCTCAGCTCCTCGGGGAGTATACAACTCGGTGCTGCTATTTCGGTGCAAAGCAGCTAAAATCAATCACAAACCATCTCTACCCAATTTACCAAGGTACCCATTTACTCCTGGGTGGAGAGAAGCAATGAGTGACAAAGTACCTTGCCTAAGGGCACACGCACCATAACCCCAGGCTGGACTCGAACCCACAACCTGCAGAATTACCCGCAGACCATGAATTCAATGCTCCATACCACGAGGCCACGGCACTCCAATTGAAATTCCAAATTGGAACTCCATACCACGTTTTTTTTCTAAGTATTTTGGTATTTTGACAGCATCGTTGTTTGGTATAAAAAAAGTATTGTCAATATATGGTATTACCCAAGCCTACCTCATGTTATTTTGCTCTTTAAAAAAAAACAGGCTGTGCTTTTTTCCCGCTTTCTTAGGAATGATGGCAAAGCCCTGGATGCATTTATAAAGAAGTTTCAGGCCGGTGAAATCGCCCCTTATATAAAGAGTGAAGCAGCTCCAGAACCTAATGATGGTCCTGTGAAGGTAAGATTTTTTATTAATTAAATCCTATTACAATACTATGGTTAGGGGGGGACGAACCTGTATTCACAGGAACGGAGTGCCCATCTCTCTTTCAATAGCGATTGGACCAGACTCATATGTTGCTGTGGGGGGATCGCCACACCTCCTCCACAGCGAGTCTGTTACCTTCCCAGCATTGAACAATGCCGGTACCCATTTAACACCTGGGTTGAGAGGAGTAATTGAGGTAAAGCGCCTTACTCAAGGGCACAACACGCATGGCCACGGCGGGGCTCAACCCACACAACCTCTCGATCACGAATCCTGTGCTCCACCGCTAGACCACACGTGCCCCACAAATGGTTAAGGACCATAGTCTTAGCTTGAATAACCTTGCTAGCAAGATTGAGGTGCCAGAAATTCAAGCTACAAAAATAATTAAGCCCAAAAATGAATGAAGATCTGAATATTCAGTATTTGATACTACTAAAAAGGCTCTAGGTAGAGTAATATTAGATAAATTAACCCTAAGTCCCAAGGGTTTGAGAATATCATATTAAAATTGGAGTATTCAGGATTTTTAGAGTAATATTAGATTCATTAACTCTAAGTCCCAAGGGTTTGTGACAAATCATATCAAAATTGGAGTATTCAGGATTTTTAGAGTATTATTAGATTAATTAACCCTAAGTCCCAAGGGTTTGTGACAAATCATATCAAAATTGGAGTATTCAGGATTTTTAGAGTATTATTAGATTCATTAACCCTAAGTCCCAAGGGTTTGTGAAAAATCATATTCAAATTGGAGTATTCAGGATTTTTTTAGGGCTAGCTAGTCGACTATTTTGAGCTGGAACCTAGGGCATGGTTCCGTCTGTGGTTACCTGTAGCTACGCGCATCATAAAGTGCAACATGGAGTCGGGAACAAGACGTTTATTCATGGTGTTTGACCAGAGAAGTTTGCTTATTGCTGTTAGCTCACAGTAACATGTATGCCACAAATCAACCACGAGGCGACTGCTGGTCTTTGCCCGGTATTATTATTTTAGATTTCATACACCTTGTTCAAAACAACGCATTGATGGACCTTTATTTTTTGTTCAGTTGTTACGCTTGCTTACACCTTTTTATTTTTTACGTCTTCAGGTTGTGGTTGGCAGTACCTTCAACGACATTGTGAAGGACGACACCAAAGATGTCCTTATTGAGTTCTATGCTCCGTGGTGTGGCCATTGTAAATCGCTGGAGCCCAAATACATGGAACTCGGAGAGAAGGTTAGTTGGAAATTAAAGCTTCATTTTTTTTTTAGGTTCTTCTGAAATCAGATACGGTGGTAGAGAGTGTTGTACCTTTTACAGTTAATTCTGAAAGGACTTAGCTGTTTATACCCATCATCAACAATGCTTTTGTCTGTAGACTGAATTTGACTGGCCACAGTGCTTCCTTGAAATATGATCTGACTGTTGGTGACTAGCCTGTGTAAAAAGCATGGCAGGGGAGAGGATCAATTTTTTTGACTGTCTGTGACTGTTCTGGGCCCAATTTCATAGAGCTGCTTAAGCAGAACATTTGCTTAAGCACGAAAAAACATTGCTTAGTAAAATTAGGTTACCGGCCAAAACTCCATGTGATGTACATTGCTTGTGACTGGTATTTAGCTGTTGTTAGCATAACAATCGCATGGAGTTTTGGCCGGTAACCTGATTTTATTAAGCAAGATGTTTTTGTGCTTAAGCAAATTTTGTGCTTAAGCAGCTCTATGAAATTGGCCCCAGAATGTAGGAGGGTTAATGAAATACAGTCGAGTCTCGTTATAACAAACTCGTTAGGACCTAGCCAAATTGTTTGTTTTATCAGAATTTTGTATTAAGAGGAACATCAGTCCCATTCCTTGTGCACATAAATGCACCGTCGGGACCAAGGCTTTGTTTGTTATAACCAGAATTTTGTATTAACAGAGTTTGTACTAACGAGAGTCAACTGTATATTTGCAGATATGCAGATAGCTTTACAAAATTTTGTGCTTTCCATAGGTTTGTGCACAATCATGGTTGCCCCCAGCAGGCTACTTTGCATATGGCTAGTTAATAGTGCTCCAGTACATTATAACTTATTTTTTTTATATTTGGGTGCTTTTTTTTCTTCTAGTTGGCAGATGTAGAGCACGTCGTTATCGCCAAGATGGATGCCACAGCTAATGACGCACCCGGAGAATATGCAGTATCTGGGTAAATTGTTGAGGATATAGATAGACTCTGTGCGTTAGCATTAGATTGGGCCTTTGTGACCACTTACAAAATCCCCAGTGGGAGGGACACATGATATGCGCATAACCCTTAACGTAGGATGTGCATGTATGGGTGGTACGAGAATTGGGTACCCGATTGAAAAAAAAAAAATGGGTACCCGATTGAAAAAAAAATACAGGGGACAGATGGACTGTTCCACTCCACTTGGCTTCGCCTCTTGAAATGGAACATTCCATCTGTCACCTTATGAAATTACTCTTACCATTGCACTCATAAACATTCATTATTTGTATATTATATAACCGACATACAGATCCTTGTCATTTGATTGGTGGAACTCACATCACGTGTCATTTGTTATTACTGCCATTCACTCCGGAGCTCAAAAAGTACTGTCCGCCCATGGGGAATGGGAAATACTATTGAACAGTTAGGATCAGTCTTGTTCCATGACGCGGTATTTGTGTGCAAATGCATGCTGGTGTGCGCGTTCAGCGTTGCGCGTAGCGCGTATTGTTCCAAAGAGCCAGCGCTACAGCGTTGGGTTCAAACATTTTCGTGAAGGGGCGGTTTGGAAGAGAGAAGTACATTTTTTCACCAATTTTGTATTGAAATAAAAGTTCAAATATATCAAATGACAAGGATCTATATGTCAGTTATATCACACTGTTATATCCACTGCCATGGATCGACCAGCCAGGATCGACGATTCAAGCTCACTTGAAGATAAATAGTATAGGGTGCCTTCGAGTAGCTCACCCGGATCGGCTTGGGTAAAGGCATACGGGTTATCCACGGCAGCCGGCTAATCTAACGCTAAACCACAGGTAAAGGCATACATCGCCCGGAGCCGTGGCCAAAGCCACTGACAAAACGCCCGTTTCGGATCGGGTCTTAGTTTGAGATGAACAACTTTTCAGTCAGTCTCTTTCTTAGAGTTTAGGCACTCTCCTGAAGACGGTCAGAGCATACTGACCGGAACGTCGAGTTTATACCTCTGGTTCTTTTCAGAACCATTCTCTTAGTTGAGAAATTATTCGCACGTGGTGTTCCGCAAGCCTTTCATTACTTAGTATCTCCACCATGCAAAGCCTCAATTCTTACTTACTTTTTAGTCAGTTGCCAAACTCAAACAGATTCGGCCGGAATTTTAGCCTCAAAAGTCCCAATGAGCTCAATAAATGATTACTTTTAGATTTCAGACAAAGTTAATTTTTAAGTCCACTTGAGATTTCCGCTGTCCATCCGCCATATTTGTCCGTTTCTTGGAATGAACAAGGCACGTGTGTGACGTATTTCCACCACTGACTCTGCTCCACGAGCAGGGTCTGTGGTGGCTGACCGGGGTGAGCCCCGAGAATGACGTCAGAGCTAATCGAACGGCATGGGGCTGACCCGTGTCGACCTGGGAGATCTAAATAAACACACCCTCCGTAAAATGACTGCCTAAATAATAGTTGAACATTTGATTTCTCTTCAGGTTTCCCACAATATACTGGGCACCCGCGGGGAAGAAGTCCAGCCCCTCGAAGTACCAAGGGGGGCGCGAGGTTGACGACTTCCTCAAGTTCATCAAGAAGGAATCCACCAAGCCCGTCAACCTAGGCAAGAAGAAAGCCAAGACTGACGAGTTATAAGGAAAAAGATCTAGGGGCATTTTGCATGAAAAAACAACTTACATTTTTGGGTTAATAGAGAAAGTATGCAGAACATGGGAACATACTTTTTAAAATAGATGTTTTTTTTTTTTTCGTTTGAAATTTAATATGGGATTTAATATCGGGTTTTAAATCAAAATTGAAAGCTAGGGGTTTGATAAAAAAATGATCGACTGAGATTTGGGGGTTAGAGTAAGTGTTTTAACCAATGTAGAACAAGGGAACATACTTCTGAAGTAGATGTTTTCCATTTTCCAAATTTAATATACGTTTTTTTTTAAAGGTTAAAAAATTCAACGCAATCCTTTTTTCCATAGGTACATCTTAGGCTCTAAAAGATGAGCCGAGTAAAGCTGGTCTCAGAGTGCACAGAATTGCATACATCCTATGCAATGGGCCAGATATAGCCCATTCATTGGCTTTATGGGGTAATCCTATACAATAGCACTGCCGGGCTAACAAGTGACGGTCAGTCGGTCAGTCAGTTAGTCAGTCAGACAACCAGGTTTACAAAGCGGACATTGGGCTTGCTCTCTGGGACAAAAAATGGGGTGCTTTTTCACGTTTGTACATTATAGTGATTCTCCGTATCCTAGCAACGAGACATATTGGGTAGTGCGAAAAAAAGACGTCAGGAATCAAGGAATGACAGAATTTTGTCCGGGAAAATATCCCTTTTTGTACTTCAATGTGACGCTACATTGCTATTAACCGCAAGGGGGAGTGTGGCCCAGTGGTTGGGGTGTGTGGCCCAGTGGTTGGGGTGTGTGAGTCATGATCAGAGGGTCAGGGGTTCGAATCCAGCTGCTGGTCACACGTGTACTCTCCTTGTTCACTGTAGCCCCTGTTCATCAGGCCACATCAGTGGGACATTTTGTAATTGTTAAAAAAATGGGAGAATTTGTAGAATTGTTATTTATAACGACTAAGATTGTATCTGTTTTTTTTTTTCCACTGTTACATATTCTTTACACAGTTGCATGCATCAAAAGTTTGTAGTTATTTCATCTGCATTTTTGTTTTTGTACCTCAAATTTTAAAATATCTGTGTTAAGTTAGTTAAAGGTGTCTCGATTTTTGAGAAAAGTTCCCTACGAATTAAAAAGTCACTTAGTGGAAAGTGGTTATTACCACTTACTCTTTGGCTCCTAAAAGACGGCCTTAAACAGCTTGCATATCCCGAGAGTTCTCATTTTTTCGTATTTTGCGGAAGACGTTGACATATAGGTGAATGTAGACATCCGGGAGCTTCTAACATTGCTGTGTCTTGTTCCATGACCCATTCACTTAAAACTCAATAGTTCTTAAGTCTGGGGTGTTGAATGGCAACTCGCAGCTGATGCAAACTGGTGTGCAATGAATGCACATGTAGACGTTTCAATGGATGACGTTATCCTATGCACACCTACAGAGGCCCCCTCCAATGGCGAAAGCATTGTGATAGCTATTGTACAAAGCAACTGCCCCGTGGCGGTTTACCTGAACAATAGCTAGCACAATGCTTTCGCCATTGAAGGGGGCCATGTGAGTGTAAAATAATATCATGCTCGCCTTGCTCGGAAAGGTCTGTACGACGGAAACCACAAAGTTGACCTAAAGTAGGCCTATATAGATTGGTTGCACTGCAGGCATTTTTGAGCATTTTGCTTTTGTTTAACATGGAAACCCATGAGTGTACATTCTTTAATCCTAACCTCACCTAAAGCTACCAAATACTACTGAGTAGTAACCTGTAGTTTGCTTTCTTTCCATACAAGTGTGCACAACACAGTAGTATTCTGTGGTATTTAGTACTTGGCCCCTTGTATACCCTTTACAAAGGTGCTACATAATTTGAGTTTAAATCGTGACAAATCCCCCTTATAAAGGTGCTACATATATAATGGGTCTCGCATTTCTCATAAACTTCATTTACCTGTCTTTAAAAATAGACATAATAACCAGCGCCTTGAGTATGGACCGATCCAGTAAGCTCCGCCCAGTGCGCGCTCGTGGGCAAATTAACACGTGCTCCTCTCCAATGCCACGCTGCATTTTCCTTTGCGCGCATCATACGCGCGTGCACGCACACATGTCGTACTTAGTGCACGCACGTCGGACATAAATCACGGTTGTGATTGGTCAGAACACCATGGGGCGGTGCTTACTGGATCGGACCCCAAAGAGCCCGTAGGGGGTTAGGGTTAATGATTTTGAACAACACACTTCAACACACATGGCTGTTGAATGCAATCGATGTATTCAGTGATAATCATCATTTTCCAGGCATGAGATTTTAGTGTTGTACATGTAGACGTAATTACCAAAGTTAAATCAGAATTACTTTCACATACAATGACAGACCACGAGAGCGTTGAAGGCTGACTTGTCCCACTTCATCATGTACTTTCATTAACATCGATTTAAATGTATACGTCGTCACTTTAATGGTCTTCGTCTTTTAAAATAACACCATCGTGTAACAGACAATCTCGGAAGAAAATTGTTTGATTTCTTTCAATGTGAATTTACAACCAGGTTAAGTTCCCATTCTTAAAAAAAAGTGACCAGTGAGCGAGCAAAAAAAGCCACTTTTGTGTTCAACATGTTCAATCACCTTAAAATTAGTTTTGAAGCGAAAGATGAAAGATATATCGCAAGCAGACGGTATACGTGTAGTCTGCTGTTGAGCAGAAGAGCAGAAAGGTTGGGAAAAAACATCTTTGACAAAAAGTTCGATCTGCTTTTCTGCCATTCCTCGGGAAAACAGTGACTTGGGATTGTTGTAATTCGATTATCACATCAATCAAAAATGCGCTATTACACTACAAAGGATAACATGCTAGAGGCCATACCAGGAATTTTGAACTTACAAGGTCTGTGGTCTAACGCTTATATTCAGGGATAATCACACGGTCCCTCTTGATCTCCAAATGGAAACCGATCAAAAAAGTGCACACACAACCTTGTTGCGTAACAAAAGTTAGTTTGGTTGGACCATTCTTAAAAGTTACAACTGATAATGTAGTAACCAACGGAAAACGTATCACCAACCGATAAAAATTGTACACCAAATTGAACGATAATGTATACCGCTAACCGATAATGTGGGGAAAAAAAGACCGATAATGTAGTAAAATGTACTACACTATCGGTCAATTGTTGTGACATTATCGGTCCTAACCGATCATGTAACAAAAACTGACCGACAGTGTAGTAAAAACGTACTACATTGTCAGTCAATATCATAATCGGTCAATTTGGTGTGATCCGTTGGTTACTACATTACCAGTTGTAACAACATGATGTATAGTGTTACTGCAAAGAAAGATGTAGGCCCTAAGTGAGTTTAAGATCATATTGTACCATATCGACCATTTTGAGATCATTTGAACCTTACCCAGATCAATGTTTTCCGAGAAGCCGTAACATGTAGCATGTTAACCTTCCATGTATCTGCAGCAGTTGTTACCGAGTCAGTGATCGAGTGAAAAGGGGGTGGAGGGACTGGGGGTTAGGGGTGGGGAAGGGAGTTTCAACAGTCTCTAGGCCGCAAAAAAGGAGAATCATTCAGAAAAAAGCACATGCCTGCTAATCCCCCTACCCTGACAACTACCCCCCCCCCATCCTCTAGAGGCAATCCCGAATTCGCCCCCTGGTGAGGCAATGAATGAGTCAGTCTGACTCAGTCAGGTACACCATGGAGGTGGTGGGTACACAGAAGATGAGGTTGGCCCTCTGGAACCGGGAAAAATCCAATCGTAAGATTAGGACACACGTGCCAAGCGCCAACCGGTTCATGTCTGTGTTCCTGCACTGTGTTTTAATATTCACGTCTGCACATCGACCTTTGGAACACTGGATGTTTACACAATGGTCTCCAAGCAAGCTCTGATGGGAGACAAAACGAACAAATATTAATAGAGGGAAACGCATACCAGAAACCCTTCATCCTGTTTTGCTGTCCGATCAGTTCCCATTCACACTCCCCGATCGCTATTTTGGAAGGTAATTTCAACCGCAGACAGGAAATCTACCGTGTGAATGGAGCACAAACAGGAAGAAGGACTGACCGGGAAAATCCTATAAATTGGAGAGAATTCCCAGATAAATTTTATTGATGGTGTTGAGCGTGGTCTAGGTGTCTCACGGCTAACGAACCAGATTATTTCATACGCACGTGCATTACAAGGCCGAGTGCTACAATTCACACTATGGGCTTCAAGTGTTTGATACTGGTCAGGATCGGCTTCATTTGGCTTGCATTTCGCAAAGGTAAAACTCTGATGATTTTTAAACAAGTTTTATACTTTAGAAAACAGAATACCAATCCTTAGGCCTATATTGCTATTCTATTTGACATCTTATACATTTATTCTTATTTGATAGCTATTAATTTGTTACGATGATTCATTTTTCGTATGAAGTAATTCAAATGTTGTGTTATATTTGAACTTGAGATTTGAAGGTTTGCATGGTGGAAAGATACTAAGACTAGATAAGTTGCGATAACACCAGTGAATAAATCTCTTTATTCACATGGTGCTACCGCAAACTTATCTTGTCTCATATTTGAACTTTTTGTAAATCATTCACAATTCAGCCTTTGGGCTTCGACGAATCGATAATAACCCTTGAATTAAATTGAATTGAAATTGAAACAATTCCTGGCCATGGTGTAATAACTTGGATAACGGGTGATACTCGGACCAGTCATACAGTTGAAAAAGAAACCCATTCGACGATTGCGTCAACCTCGTTGCCTGGTTTCACCTTCAACCTCGGTCTCGAGCCGGCCCGAACATAACAAATTATGCCTTCGTCCATGAACTTGGGCAAACTATTTTCAATCTTTTGTTTCTAATTTCAGCCACGGCCTCCTTCGAAATCTGTGACTTCGAAACCGATGAGGACGCCTTGTGTGGGTACACTCAGGACGCGGACGACGATTTTGATTGGTCGTTGAGACAGGGAGGCACGCCCACCTCCAACACGGGGCCGGCTTACGACCACACGCTAGGAGTCAACTCCACAGGTGACTGTTAATTTTTTTTCATAACGAGCCTTGTCAACTTGGTCCAAAAGCGCATAAAAGTTGTATTCAAAATTGTACATGTGGTGATGGTAACTTGGTAGAATAAAAAAAATCCACTTTTACCATTCGCATGAAGACTTGACTAAGCCTTCACTTGTACATAAAAGTACATGCAAACAAAAACGGTTCCCATTTCATACAGTCGACTCTCGTTAAAACAACACTGTTAATACAAATTCTGGTTATATAGCAAACATAAAGCATCATGGTCCCCGCTGTACATTTATGTGTACATACAGTGAATATGATCCTCACTCCACTTATTATTAATACAACATTCTAATATAGGCCTAACAAACATTTTGAGTTTGTACTTAAAACGAGAGTCGACTGTATCAGTCGTAAAAGTCAATCTTTAAAGCAAGTCGGAAGTTTTAATTCCGTATAATGTTTCAATCGATTTCAATACATGTGTTAAAACAATGTACATTATATTTTTTATTCTTCGGGGGTTCCTATGTCTTAAAATGCATATGCCTCTGAATTTATTGTCTGTGAAAATTGACTCGTGTGAAAAGTCATGCATGGGTCAGACCTGACCCAATTCCGGGTCAGCTGACACGTTTCCAGGACAAAACAAACACGTATGTGAGTCACTTTTTGGGGTCATTTGACCCAGAAAAATTTCATTTTAACCATGCGTACCAAGAAAGTGTCATTTTTTTAAAACAACAAATAATTGTCATTTTGACCCAGAAGAGTGTCATGCCAAATCTGGCCCGGATTCCGAGTCGAATGATCGGACCCGGGAATGTTAAATTTGACTCACCGTTCTTCTGTTTTCTTCAATCGCCTAATCTCCTCCTATAACTATAAGGTCACTACATGTACATCGAGGCTTCGGGTCCCGGCAATTGGGACATAGCCCGTCTCAGCAGCCCGATCTCCGGCCCGTCTCCGGGCTTCTGTCTCCGCTTCTACTACCACATGCACGGGGAGGACACGGGCCGCCTGAGCGTCCGGCTACGGAGCGATGGGGCGTTGGCCAGCGAGGCTCTGTGGACGCGCAAGGGGAGCCAGGGGGATGAATGGATGGAGGCAGCGGTCGACGGTAGCTCACCCTCCGAATTCCAGGTAATAATACTTATTCTTTTTTGCTTAATATTTCCGAAGAATAAAAATTCACTCGAGTTTCCACTCGAAATACACTAGAGTGATTCTTTCTCAAAGTATTTTTTCTCTCTTCACTTTTTGGATACACGAGAGTTATTCTCAATGTGTGCAAAGTTAACTCTGTTCGACTGAAAGTAGCGTCAACATGTTTAGAGTGATATTTATTCAGTCAAATCGATCGGACTAATTTTCCAAATTGGCCGATGGGCCGTTGCAAAACAATATTGAAGAGCGAGCCTCCTCATTTGACGCTAGAGGGAAATTGTTTCTCTTTTGTCCCTTGCTATGTGTGTGTGTGTGTGGGGGGGGGGGGGGGGGGGGGCGGATGGCTCCCGTTTCCCTCAGCCCCTTGACCCACCTGTCATCGAAAGGTGCCGGTATTTACTATGGTATCCATGGCCTTATGATGTTGGTTTGCAGGTGGTATTTGAAGCTAAGAGGGGTGAAGGATTCAAGTCGGACATCGCTATAGACGACGTCTCACTAGCGCTGGGGTTTACATGCGGGGGAACCGGTGAGTTGTTGTGTATTATCATGAATGTGTTAAGTTTATTGGGGGAACTGAAAACGTGTTCTGGATGTAAGGATACTTCAATTCAGGTCATGTTCAACGGAACCTTTATTTCTGAACTTTCAAACGTGATATGTACAAAGGAAATACAAACGAGGATCGTTAGCAATGAAGAAAATGCGGGTGTTCAAAATCTATTCAATTTATCACTTTTTTACTTACCCATTTTTACTTACCCACTATACTTTCTGAGATGTTTTCTTGTTTTCGCCTAAAAATAATTTCGTTTTTGTTAAATTGCTATACTTTTCTATAGCAATGCAAATGGTATTGAATGAGACATCGAATTTTGGAATGAAACATTGAACGTAAAAAAATCGACCCATGTTTCAACAAATTTTGGATTATTTGCGACCAGACAAATAATTCAATTTCGTAGCTTAAACTGGTTCACGCACCCTATCAGGGATTGGGAACAGACTACTCGCAGGGCAGATCACAAAATTTGCGCCCCCCCCCAAAAAAAAACGACCCAAAAGACCCTTTTTTCAGAGGGTTACAGACTCCCAAAATTGAGAAGAAGGAGTTTTTTTTTTTTTTTAAAGAAAACAGGCAACTTAAAATTTGTGGGGAAAAAATGCTGTTGTCAAAGAGCATAGACTTTATGAGTAAACTGAGCTTCATGCGCAACACTATTGTACATAGAGTTTTGATAGAATCACACTCGAGTTGTCCTATAAAATTATGAAACATTTCTACCTACTCATTTTCATAAGAGTGTGAAGTTTTATGGGGTGGGTGAGTTAGCAAAGCACACATGTACGAAGATGAAGGGAAATAGAATGTTGTGTTGTATGTGAGAAAAAAGAAACAGAGTAGGCCTATTGACGAAGTATGATTATTTCTTTTGCATTATCAAACTATAGTTATTGTAACACCATCAACTTCCGAGCCCGTAACGTCAGATGATGAACCGATAGCAAGCCCATCAACCAAAACTTTAGAGCCAATCAACGGACAGCAACCATCGGTCACCAAGCAACAAGGAATTGAAGTCTCCAATCAGCCCGCGAGAGGCGTGACGTCGTCACCCCTGGAACCAATAGACAGCCAACTTATCATCGTGGTCTTGGTGGCGGGCTTGTCGTTCTGGGGCGTGGTCCTTGCCGTTCTCGCCGCCGTCATTTACAAAACCCGCCAATCACGGAGGTGCAAGAAAGGCAACGTGACATATGACGTCGTCGATGATCCAACCAGTCAGGAAGAGATTGTCATGGCAACTGAGGGGACACATGAACAGTCGAACGCTTAATAACGAAAATTTATCTATCCTTAGAAAGATTATATATATGTGTGTGTCAGAAAGGATAGTGTTTTGCGATATAGTGCAATGTTTTGGTTTGTAAATATTGTGCGTTCGAGCGTGTGCTTTCGTGCCACGTAATACAGTGATAATTGATACCCAGACTGTACAAGACGATGGAATATGTCTTGTTTTGTATGCGATTTGTAAAGTTACTAAATACTTTTTTATTAGAAAATTTGTTATAAAACCAGAAAAACTTATTGGTTAATTAAAGAAACGCTCATGGAAGTATAGGACACCGTTATAGGCAAAGACCTAAGGCCTCTGCAAACATAATTTCTACGGCCCGGACTATGCAATTATTATATTTATCACATGACTTGAGGTTTTGATGGCGGATGAGTTAAATTACAAAGTTTGCGGGTAACACCAAAGCATATCTTCCACACCCCATTACTCTTCCTCCTGAGGACGGACAGAGCACACTGTCCGAAACGTCGAGTTCTACACTCAACCAACCGGTTCTTTTCAGAACCACACTTCTTCCAAGAAGAGAGATCTTTCCACATGGTGTTATACCCGCAAATTTTATAATTTATCACATCATTATTTGTTATGATAGAGTTTTAATCCGCTTTCCCCCGAGCTAGTCCTCTGACGACTGTTACAGATGAAGCGCCTATGCCTTGACGTTTTCTTAGTAAAAACAAGATTGGTATCACTGATATTAACTGTTAAACTAAGAAAGATACACTGTAAACAAAACCCGTAAAAACACTGTCCATTTCCCGTATTGTTTACGGTTTAGTACCGTTATTGCTCGAACCGTCACAAGAAAGAACGTGCTACGTGCATTTCCAGTAAAACTTGGTGGCCTGACGCAGGCTGGGATTCACAATGGTTTGTATTCGTAACTTTTCAAAACCCCTCCCCTTTCAAACCCTCACAACCGCCTAGTTTTTAAAGCTGTGATTCGTGTGCACTCACGCAACGTTCGCTACGTGCTGATCATTGGGACGTCAAAGCTTTGGTATTGCGAAATTTGAAGAGTCAAGCAGCTAATCCTGCGGTGATGACCAGCAATAGGTTGACCCCTTTCTGTGGGATCGGTAAAAAGTTGTAAATGAAAATTACAACTTAAAGATAATTTCACCTTAAGTGATTTGAAAACCACTATGCGTGTAAAAGACAAGCTGCAAGACGTATGCATACCCCACTCCCAGCTGCTGCAACTGGAACCTACCCCCCTCCCTACCCCTACACTCGGCTCTGACGCCACCCACTTTGTATTCCATTACTTTACGGCAAATTGCCGTTAAATTTACGGGAAATTCGCGTTAAAATTACGGTCACCGTCATTTTTGGAAACCCGTAACTGACCGTAATTTTACGGTCTTTTGTTGGCAACCCGTTTGACAGTGCTTTTACCGTAAAATTACGGGCAAATTTTTTTACAGTGTATGCATAGCTACTTTAATAGGCCTACTGTTGGTCCCTCAAATCTTAATGTACCTTTAAAACAAGCAACAGATTCATCAGAAACAATAACACTTGAGGCGCGCGTGTAGGCATACCAGTGTTGGAGCAAAGGCTTTGACCCTCAAGGCCAAGGCCAAGGCCAAGGCTTTGACCCTCAAGGCCAAGGCCAAGGCCAAGGCTTTGACCCTCAAGCCTCGAGGCCAAGGCCAAGGCTTAACCCTCAAGGCCAAGGCCAAGGCCAAGGCCCTGTTTTATGAAATGACCACTGATATAGAACTAATTATAGTCACATGAGTGACACATCATCACGCAAGGGCGGATCCAGAACACAATTTGGGGGGGGGGGGGGGGGGGGGGGCAAAGAAATTTTGGTCCCCCCCAAAATAAGTGGGTCAAAAAATTACTGCTTGGGCTTCGGGGCCCGCTTAAGGGCCCCGAAAATTTTTTGGATTCGAGATGCTCTGTGGTGCGATTTGAGGCAATTTCTGACCATATTAACCGATGTTTTTTGAGGAAAAGATGGTGGTGTACTCATTGCCTGCCTTTATTACGACGTCACATAAAAAAAATGGTTTCGTTTTATTTAGGGGGGGGGGGGGGCATGGCCCCTTTTGGCCCCCCTGGATCCGCCCTTATCATCACGAATTGCTCGTTACGAAGAACAACATTTCTTTAATTGCAATCAACATGCTCGCATAGGCCTACACCGTTTTATGACTGCACTGTATCTATTAAAGGGAATGTACATAATTGGCTTATGCTTTAATTTCCAGAAATGAACTATTTGAGGGGTTAGTATAATAGATCAAACTATTGTTACACTGACATGTTTGAAGTTTTGTTTTCGAAAATGCTGGAAAAACCAAGAAAAACAAAAATGTTCCAGTAGTCTGGTTCCCTGACTCCACTGAAGATGAAATGGATCAATTTACAGATGCCGGAAAATTGTACGCTAAGGGAACCAGTCTAGCTGACCTGCACCCATTCATGAACATACAACCAATTAGCAAACAAAATTGGACTGAAAATAAAATGGTAAATTTGGAGCAGTAGTAAAAAATAGTTAGGTTTTTCCTACGGTGGTCGGCCGACCACTGTTGGTAATGTAAACAAAAATATAATTTTCTTGAAAATGACTTCACACCAGGTGCCATAATTTTACAGGATGCTTTAGACTGTCATTTACCAACATCCTGTAAGGTATTTCGTAAAAACTTGGTCATTTTATTTTTCGATGTTTGCAAATGTTGTATTTTCCCTTTAAAGTATAAGTTCAGGTCTTCAATATGGTTTAACTAAACAAAATAATGATTTACTTCTATATTGACACACAATTCTCCCAAGTGTAACAAAAGGGGGATCAAAGAAACTGATTTGGAAAATGTTTATTTGCTGGCCCAACATGGTCAGAAATATCAGCATTATCTAAAGCAGATACTGGTACATGCAAATCTTTAGCACTTATCAGGGAGACATATACAACCAATCAAATCTATTCCATAGTTATATGCAATTAAAGTGATCATCTCATTAGCCCCACAAGTGTACGGAATATTTTTGCAGCAAATCTACTACAATGGTAACAAAATGTGATGCTACAAAAGTGGAAGTGTGCCCAACACACAAATCTATAGGGTGCTTCCCTCTTCCATGGTAATACGATTAAAGTGGTAACAGCAAAATTTCGAACAGATTTATCTGGAAAATGCAAAAATCTATGGGCCTTGAAGAGCCTTGACTCAAAATTGCAAGGCCCTGAACCCTCAAGGCCAAGGCCAAGGCCAAGGCTTTTGCCCTCAAGCCTCGAGGCCAAGGCCAAGGCCCTAAAATCCAGCCTTAAGGCAGCCTTAAGGCCAAGGCCCAGCATCAACGCACTACATCACTGAGGCATACTGCACTATTTTGCATCAAATGCACGTTAAAGACCCGTAGGATAAATTTGGGATAAAAATGGAAGCGAAGTATGCTCTTTTTTGCAATATAGTGGAGACTAGGGACATTTTTCAAGACGGCGATGGACAGGACCGCATCTTGTGGTGATAGGCACGTTCGGAGGGAAAACAAATCACCCTAAAACCATTGGTTCACCCCCCCCCCCGAAAAAAAGGATGAAACACAGAAATAGACCCAAAATAGAAAGAGGGTTAATTAAGCTTTAATTGGATGTGTATCTTGAATACCTATGAGTGTTCTGAGTATTTACTCCGATTTTTTTCAGTGTGGGGATTTATTTTATCATTGGTACCTAATTTTGGTGGTCTGCGGGCATCGTGAACCAAAATGATATAGCGCCCTCTGGTGACAATCTAAAGAGAACATACCATTACCAAGATGGCGGCCACCAGCGGTAGTCCGAAGTTTCCCGACTTTTCAGTATTAAAACAGCTTTCTAAGGAGCATTTGGTTCACCTATTGGAATCGGTGAGTATACTTGCGAGCTACTGCTCATAATATAATGATAATGTAGGGGTGGCAGTGACTGAAGTTAGTTATTTCATGACGTTTTTGTACCAACAGTCAGCAGGCCTATACGAGGGAAATGGGTCAACTCGTACCCGGATTAACTCGTACCCGAGTCAACTCGTACCCCAAAATTGACACCCAAGTCAAGTCGTACCCGAGTTAGGTCGTACCCGAGTCAAGTCGTACCCCAGTCAACCCGTACCCGAGTCAAGTCGTACCCGAGTTGACTCGTACCCGCAGCTCAAAATAGGCCTAGTTGCCTATTTTCGAAAAGAAAATCAGTGAAACGAACGGAAGATCGGAGGGATATGGCCGGTTGTCCGTGCATGGTGACATCGTTTGTGCCAAGCCTGTGTGCGCACTCGCCGGTCCACGTGGTCGTCCGTGCACGGTGACATCGTTTTTGCCGGGCCTGTGCGCGCACTCATCGGCCAACGTGGTCGTACCGTGCACGGTGATATCATTTTTGCCGGGCCTGTGCGCGCACTCATCGGCCAATTCATCGGTGGTTTTCCGATGAACCATTTTCTGCTGCTCAACAGTTCGTGATGAATCGAATCGGATGTCAAGTTTTGAGGATGAAACCCGATTAGCTCAGTTTTGTTTGAGATAAATCTTTCTCTTGCACTTGAATTACAATTTGCTAATGTCAAACAATCTTTCACACCCAAGGATCAGCTAACAAATTTGGTCCCCTAAAACTTATAGAAAGAGCATCTCTGAATGAAACGAGCCACCATTTTCCTTTATCGTTTTTACTTCCTTGATGCCTCAAATGTAAACAAATAATTAAAAATCCTACATTTCTGTTACCAAGATAATATTCTAGTTAAAGTTATCGCAGAAACTTTATTTGAGCTGCACAAGATTTTTTTTACGACATTTACCAAACTAATTGTACACAAAATGACCAACATATTTATAAAGAATCATTATAAATTAAATAACGATGTCCGTGTGACTCTTTTAAGTTTCCTGTAATATATTTTATCTTCAGATTTGTACTTTCAGGGCCCCCAATCTTCCCAAAGAGATTTGTGCCATGTGCAGTTATTATTCAATAAATGATGCCAAAAATGGAGTGAGTGAACGTTGAAAAATATTACTTTTACATTACAAAATGCGATGAAGCCCTTGCCGATGTACGGTACATTTTCCCTTTTCATCCAGATTGTGAGCAACATTTGATACCACCGCCTTCAACTAATCCTTGAACTTTATTTGTATTTCTGGCGGCGTAACTACTATTTCTCAGTCGCCGTTTTTGAGGGTAAAATCGGAAGTTTTGTTAACCATCCATCCGTAATTCCAAACTAAAAAAGGAGGGGAGTACGAGTTGACCTGGGTACGAGTTGACCCGGGCACGAGTTGACTCGGGTACGAGTTAACCTGGGTACGAGTTAACTCAGGTACAAGTTAACTTGGGTACGAGTTGACTGGGGTACGAGTTGACTCGAGTACGAGTTGACTCGGGTACGAGTTGACCAAAAATCTATACGAGTGGGGTGCTGTGGTCCAATGGTTACAGTGTTCGACTCGTGTGCTGTGGTACACGGGTTCGAGTCCTGACCGTGGGAACATGGTGCTTGTGCTCTTGAGCAAGGCACTTTACCACTATTGCTTCGTCCTTCAGATGGGACGCAAAGCCGTAGGTCCCGTGTGTTGTGTAATGCACGTTAAAGAACCCAGTAACACTTGTCGCTAAGAGAAGGGGTCTGCCCTGGTGTTTCTGGCAGTGGCCGCAGCACCTTGTATACCCTGGTGCCACATAATGGGTCTCATATCTCTCATGTACTTCATTCATTAAATAATAGACATAACTCCCAGTGCCTTGAGTACCTCAGTACTCCGTTGCGATAATGCCTGAATAGATTTCTGCAACGTAGCCATACAGACAGATACAGATACAGAGTGGGCGGGGTTAAGGTTTCAGCAAAAATACTGTGTAGCGCAAATTGGTAAACATTTTCATGACTTACTTCTCGCGCGGCGATTCTCTTTAATTCTGGCAGCTGGTTCTTGGTTCTTGGTTGGTTCTTCTCCTAAATACTCCACGTGGGAGTTTATACAGGAGGCCAGAAACACCGGGGCAAACCCCTTCTCTTAGCGATACTGGGTTCTTTTACGTGCATTTATACAACACACGGGACCTACGGCTTAACGTCCCATCCGAAGGATGAAGCAATAATGGTTAAGTGCCTTGCTTAAGAGCACAAGTGTCCGCTGGCGGGCTCGAACCCACGTCACTGTTGCCTCTGAAACACCAGAACGTGAGTCCGGTGTTCTTAACCGCTAGGCCATCACACTCCATCAATGAAGCTGGTCTTCATTGGGCGATAGAAACTAGAAATTGGGCGTTTTTAGCTGCGCACATAAAATGTACATGTCATAGCGTGCAAGCATGAGTGCTTGGCGGTACAGGGTACCAGCGAAAGCGCTGTTGCGCGTTGGGCTCTTTTAGTGTGCGGCGCGGAATTGGGCGCATTGACATTACACTGCATGCACAAACCGCATAGTTGGGCGCTTACTGAAGCCAAATTTATAGCGCGTATTTTAAAGTTGCTAAGGAGCTTGGTTAACGCGTACGCCGTAGGCGCGGCGCACTTCACTTACCATTTTGCTGTCACTTTGAGCGGACGCGCGCTGATCTCCATAACTAATATTGTGAGTAGAAAATAGTGTTATTTATATCGTGACACTTTTCCCAGCTATTTAATTTAGGGCAAGTCTAGCTTGGGGTAATTCAGCGCACAGTTATCCAAAGTCCGCATGTTTTAGGTGAAATTTAGGAGAGAAATAAGCCAGAAATCTTGTGAATAATTTATTTGGAAACCATTTGGAGGTCCGATCCCCTCCGGAGGTAACTGGAGGTGACTGGAGGTAACTGTGCTTGGAGGTACATGTACCTCCGATTCATTTGGTGCGAATTAAATGATGCATTGAGTAGTACAAGTTATAGTTTGTTTCCGATTGTCAATTACTTGGTTGTCCAATAGGGTTTGCCTGCAAGTGGGGATATATTTTCCCCGAACGGACGCACCCCCCGGGTTGTTGAGAACCCGCCGCCCATATAGAATCCCCACTGAAAAGTCTCGGGATTTCATATGGGACTCAGATTGTGAGAGGTCATTTGAGACCCTCAAGAGGTGTCTGCAAGAGGCACCAATATCAGCCTGCCCCAAGCCAGAGGGCCAGTATAATACTGGACACTGATGCTAGTGGGGATGGAATTGGGGCTGTGCTGTCACAAACTCAAGAAGGGAGTGAAAGGGTGATTGCATATGCTAGCAGAACCCTATCTAAACCCGAGCGGAATTATTGTGTGACGCGGCGAGAACTACTCGCAGTGATCTTCTTCTTATGACAGTTCAAGCAGTATTTGTACGGGCGGAAGATAATCATCCGAACCGATCATGCCTCCTTGCGATGGCTTATCAACTTTCGCAACCCAGAAGGTCAGTTGGCTAGGTGGTTGGAAGTCATTGGGTACGATTGAGTACGATTATACAATTGTACATCCACCAGGCTTGAAACATTCCAATGCAGACGGCCTATCTAGACAACCATGTAGACAATGCGGAAGGACTCTAGAGAATGAGTCAGAAACGGCAGTACATGAGAGTGTGGTTCGAATAACAAAGGTACAGCCAGAAATAACCAATGAAGCAAACGCAGGCCCAACTAGAGGATTCCTCCACTTCTTGGGTAATCCAGGCCAAAAGAGATTCAACAGAAAGGCCAGAATGGAACACTGTTTCTGGGAAGTCAATTTCCATCAAGACCTATTGGCGCCACTGGGATGAGTTACACATCAACAATGATGTACTGTACACCAGGTGGGAGTCTGATGATGGCAAGGAGCTGAAATGGAAAATAGTACTTCCTGAGTCGCTACGAAAAGCGGTGACGGAAGAACTGCATGCAGGAAAAACAAGTGGACACCTTGGGTTTAAGCGAACACTGGCCAGAGTAAAGTGTCGCTACTACTGGTGTGGCATGCGCGCAGATGTCCGTTCCTTCTTCAGGAAGTGTGAACGATGCGCAAAGAGGAAATCACCACCTAAGCGGAGCAAAGCACCGTTACAGCAGGTTCCAGTTGGCTATCCAATGGAAAGAGTAGCACTGGACATAATCGGCCCGCTACCAATCACCGACGATGGGAATCGTTGGATACTGGTAGTGGGCGATTATTTTACAAAGTGGATCGAAGCATATCCACTTGTGGACACAACAGCACAAACAGTTGCCAAGGTCCTTGTCACACAGGTAATTGTCGATATGGGGTCCCTGCAGAACTTCACTCTGATCAGGGAAGAAACTTTGAAGCAAACGTGTTTGGTGAAGTGTGCCGTACACTCGGTGTACACAACACACGAACCACACCCTATAATCCGAAATCCGATGGACTGATAGAGAGGTTCAATCGAACCCTCATCAACATGGTTGCAACCATGATAGAGCCTCACAGGCAGCAAAAGGATTGGGATTTGCAGTTGCCATACTGTATGCAACATTTGCATATCGATCCACTCCGCAGGAAAGCCCGTGAGAGACACCCAACATGATGATGTTGGGCAGGGAAACGGCTTTGCCGATTGATCTTATGACTGTTCAACTTGAACACCCTGCCAGTGGCAAGTTGGATTACGCAGAAGAGTTACGAACGAGACTAACGAGTGCTCACGATCGGGCTCGTGAGCATTATAAATCCAGTACGAGAAGACAGAAGCGAGGCTACGACCGAAATGTGTCTGGCAAACCCCTGAACAAAGGAGATTTTGTTTGGGTTTATAACCCAGCTAAGAGGAAGGGAGTCTGTCCAAAACTAGAAAGTCGTTGGCAGGGCCCGTATCTGATAGTTGATAAACTTTCGGATGTAGTGTTCCGACTCCAAAAGAGTAAGAGGGCACGGACAAAAGTAGTGCACTTTGACCGGCTGAAACTGTATGAGGGCAAAACCCTTGAAAGTTGGACTGAACCCAGGCATGAAAGCCTAATAAGTGAGCAGGAAGAAATCAGTAATGAGCGGATAGAAATCCCTCCCCAAGACAGATCTATTGAGTGTGTAGATAATGAGTCAGGAAATGAGAGCGAGGCCATGGAAGAGCCGGTTGAAGCCGCTTCCATGGAGGCAATTAACAATGCCAATGAGGGAACTCAGGAATGTGAATCTGAAGAAAACATTGTGGCATTGAATGAGCGGGTGAGGACCCCTCCAAAATCTTCTATGAAACCCTCCGATTAAATGAGCGGTGTACCCAAGAGGTACAGGGATTGTTAGAGGGTGATGAATGTTTACTAAACCCTCTCTTCTTCTTGTTTCTTATTTCAGACTATGCCATTACCAATGGCTACTCCAGACGATCTGGATGAGAGCAGGTTGCTGAGGTGCAAGAAGTGCCTGAAAGTATTCTTGCAGAGACGAAGCCTCTACCGGCATCTGCGAGATGACCATGGTCCACCCAGATATCTCGACTGCCAAAGGTGTGAATTCCAGTCTAAACGGCGGGACAACCTGCGCAGACATTACAGAAGGAGACATCCTCAACACATGGATGACCTCAATTTCTCAAGCAGCCCTCAGGGGCAGCCACCAGACAGTCTGCAAGATTGCCATGGTCCACCCAGATATCTCGACTGCCAAAGATGTAAATTCCAGTCTAAACGGCGGGACAACCTGCGCAGACATTACAGAAGGGTACATCCTCAACACATGGATGACCTCAATATCTCAAGCAGCCCTCAGGGGCAGCCACCACACAGTCACCGTCGGATGGAGCGGAGAGATATCGCAAAAGTGTCCTACAGCCCCAGGGCAAGACCTGCAGCAACGGCGAGCTGTCCCCCGGAGACGGTAAATGCTCCAGCTACAGTTCCACCCACACCACAAGAAGCAGTGCATGTGGCACCTCCTCAGCCTACACCATGCAGTGTCTGGGATGAGATGGAAATTCCAGTAGCTGAGGAGGTGGTGATCTCGCCAGCCGCATCACTGTCCTTCCAACCAGCAACCGCTGAAGAGCTGCCCACCCACAACAAGACACCTAGCCCGGTTGTGGCACCAGTAAGCGGGAAACCCCTAGCCAGGCTGAAAAGTCAACTTCAACAGGAAAGGCTGCCTACAGCCTCCTCGGCCTCATCAAGTGAGTGGAGCGAGGACTCAGACGAAGAAGAGGAGGTCACCAAGAAGAAATCATCGCTGCTCAATATCGCCATCCACAACGGCCTGACAAAGGTGACAGAGGTCGTCACCAAAACCTATTTCCGCAACGGCGATAAGGTTTCCGAAGTGACGCGGACCAGGGTGTACGAAGCCGACAGCAAGTAGTTACAAAGAGCAGGTCTTCAAGTTCGTCTATCTGGACTTAACTTTTAACTTCAATTAATTGTTCTTCGTCGCACTGCGGATCAGGACTCTAGCACCCCAGTTAATGTTTTACTGTTAATTCAGATAATTGTTGACGAATTTATTGTTCAAGTGTTCTCGTTGAGGATCAACAGACTCTGGTCATCGGTGAAATTAGCTATAGAGTCAATGTTTTTAAAGAAATGTTTTGAAAGAATTGCTGAATTGTTTAATCACAATTTAATTGCTGCTTTTATCCCTCACCTTTTAACCAATTCGCTTGTTAGAGTTTTCAGCCTAAGTGGACGGGGACCGTTCAGGCTTCGAGTGGGGCTATGTAGCGCAAATTGGTAAACATTTTCATGACTTACTTCTCGCGCGGCGATTCTCTTTAATTCTGGCAGCTGGTCTTCATTAGGCCAAAAAAAAAAAGTCTCCAGTTTCTGGTATGCGCGCGCGTCGCTGCAGCCATGCGCGTCGGCAAAATGAAAAAGTTTTTTTTTCAATACAAGATGATGTCTCAAAACCGCCAAACTCACTGGTTTGACTGGAATCCTGCTGCTGCACAATTTTAACGTGTTTTTAGATGGGGTTATGATCGAGAATAAGCTTTATGTGGCCTCTCTGGACTCCCATATATTTGCACTAAGTTTAGTCGGGCACCATTTGCAGTCATCAGCCGATATTTGAAGCCAATAAAAAAAAAAAACAGGTAAAAAAAAAAATAAAGCTGCGTCGCCGCACCACTTTTGGGGCAAGCTCCATACCAGAAACCGGAGACTTTTTTTTTTGGCCTTAGGCGATAGAAATTAGAAATTGGGCGTTTTTAGCTGCGCACATAAAATGTGCATAGCGTGCAAGCATGAGTGCTTGGCGGTACAGGGTACCAGCGAAAGCGCTGTTGCGTGTTGGGCTCTTTTAGTGTGACATTGCATGCACAAACCGCATAGTTGGGCGCTTACTAAAGCCAAATTTATAGCGCGTATTTTAAAGTTGCTAAGGAGCTTGGTTACGCATTCGCCGTAGGCGCGGCGCACTTCACTTGCCAAAATTGGAAATATGTTTCTCAATCCCAGTCCCAGATTCTTGTCTTTTCAACAATTTTGCAATGACTTACCTTTATTGAGTGATAGGCCTATATCAAGAAAAAAAAGTGGCGTCAGGTTGCAACATTCTTTCCCTTTTGCCCTTGGGGAAACCTTCAATAAGTTCAAAATGGATTTTTTCTCCACAACTTTTTAGAAAGCAGAGAAAAAAGAAGGCATATTAATTATGCCGTAATTTATAAGTTGTAAAGCCATGCCAATGTCCATGAGGTCTTGTTTTTTCTAAAGTGTAAATATTATCGTAAACCGTACATACATACCTAGATCATGTAGATACAAGTTAAGTACGCAATACAATATAATACATTTTTCTTTGTTCTCCCTAAAGTCAGAGTTTTCTTTCTTTATTGTTATAAAATCAAATCCTACATTTAATTGCAGAATGTTTCTTCTTCTTTTTCCTGAGTTGTGGCCCTGGAGGATTTTTATAAAAGTGAATAAAGTTTGACATCGCAATAGGTCTGATTCCCATCTCCTAAATATCAAGTCACAACGCTAATGTAAGCGTGAAACTAGACAAAGATTTGTCACGGTAAAAATGTCTTAGTACCAAAACAAGTGCCGGTTCAACAGCAAAAACAGTCGGGGACTGGTTCACAGTCAAATATACACTGCCTTTTCATTAGTCATTATTCATTTATTTTTCTTCAAGGTAGGCTTCAGCTGACCACTATATTGTGTTTAAATTTTAAGTTAAATCGACGAATTGCAGTTTTGACATTGTTCACACTCATAGGATTTAATGTTAAGAATAAATATTGATGTTTTTACAAGTGTCAATCATTTTTGAAGTTGGTTTGTGTGATGAGTGAAATTTTTAAGAAATAATGATTTTTTTTTGCAAAGGATTTATAAAGAAGTCTTGAGCCTTGTAAAGCTCGTCTAAGACCAATGCAAAGCGACCATCCTTGCTAGACAGGAAGCCTTTGCTCTTGTGTGTCAAAGGCAGTACCCTGGCAAACCAAATCCACATTTACTATTTTTATCTCGCCTGATTATTATTCATGACACTTCCAAATATGGACTGACACAATTTCTGTCCAGTCAGATCGCTTGTTACAAAAGCTGGCCAACTCACAAACTCAACTAGGAAACGGTCGGACAACTGTCCCTACATTTGTACCCTGCTCTACATACTGGGCTTTGGCTGCCACTGGGTAGGCCATGTAGCACAGGCTCTTCCCCCAACCAGTCCTCACTCCAACAAAAACAAATCCCTTCCATCAAGAGACACTGAATGGGAATTCTCTGGTGATCATGTACACAGTAGGCTGTCTTTTCCGAAAAAATGGTCCACATTTTGATGACTATACATGTACATGTACGTACACAATGGTCGTCATATTTTATTGCCTAAAAAAAACCCACCAAAGGCTAATCAGCTGCCCAGGAAAGAATGTAGTATTCAGACGCCACTTCAGCGGCTGTGTACAAAGTCTATGGAGAGTCAAGAACATTTTCTAAGTATTTCCTAAAAAAAAAAATTGAAAATGTTTCTCAGTCCTAGATTCATGTCTTTTCAAAATTTTTGCAAAGACTGACCTTTATTGAGATGATATGCAAAGAAAACAGTGGCGTCAGGTTGCAACATTCTTTCTGCTGCCCAAAAATTACCTTGTAAATCATGAATCATGAATATTCAGTGCCTAGTATAATGTCACAAAGTCTGATTGGCTGACAGCAAATGTCAAATATGAAATAAGTGGACTTGGTTGGCCAGGATAGTTTATGACACACGAGACTAGAACTACCCTGGCTAGTGAGGATGTATTAAAGTGACAAGCTCGTCATCGGAGTCAATATCTTTGGGCCAAGGTCAGGCTTAAGCAAGTCTAATTCACAAGTGACAGTCAGTGAGCCAGTGTAATACTGATTGCGATACATGTAGGTACAAAGGGGACTGTAGGTACAAAGTGGACTGACAGACGTGTTGACCTCACCACTCAATATGCCAAAAACTTGCTTACTTCTGAAAAACACCGTCACATGCTTCCCAACCCAAGACTCTCTCTCACCAAACGAAATCTCAGGAACTCCAACCACCTTACCATGCCTCGTATCAGTACTCAAAGATACAAACAATCTCCTGTCCCCTCTATGAGCTGCAGATTAATTAATTCTCAGTAGTTTTGGTTTTTAGGTGTTCATATTATTGTTTCTCCTATCTCATTCTATTTTAATTACTCAAATTTTATATGTAATGTTAGTCACTGTTATTGTTTTTGTCTGTTCAAGCTTTACTGTTTACATATGTAATGCTTAGCAATCATTGTAAATATTAATTATTACTGTAAACCAAATATTTTTAGTTCTTGGACTTTTTCTTTGGTCACCATCTTTTTTGACAATAAAACCAAAATGAATGAATGAATGAATGAATGAATTAAATGTAATTGTCTTTTGGAATTTGGCCCTCCGGGCCGAGATTTTAGACAAATAAAAGAAATGGGTGGCCTCTAAGACCAACGAAAACTAGTCTGAAAAAAAAAATCCCTAAAATTCATTTTGTTGGTACTGGTTGCATTTTCCTTTATGTTTGAATTCTTTCCTTTTCTTCAGATTCCTGAAAAGAAGGATTTAGTGATCGATCCTGATCTAATGAGGCCTTTAGATAGAATAGCCGGAGCTCAACTGCTAAAGGTATAAGTCATTAAATCTCTCATTCTTTAAAAAAAAAAGTGGTAAATTTAAATAATAACCCTAACCCACCTCATTCCTCTGAAATCCTCCTGACGGTTTTGGAGGATTTTGGAGGATTGAGGATGAATGGTGTTTGAAACGAAGGAGGATTTTGGAGGATTGAGGCCGAATGCATTTTGAGAGGCAATGCTGTTGGAGGATTTTAAAGGATTGAGGCGTTGGGTATCCTTCATTTGAGCATAAGTGCAAAATTTTGGAGGATTGAGGATGGTTCCTAGCAAAAAGGGGCCAGGGAGGTAGGAATAATGCATATTTATAAATCAGATATATCCACAAGAATTTGTGCTTGAGGTGTTACATCATAAAACTAATTGGCCGCCTTAGGGTTAGGGTTAGGGTTCAAGCCCGGAGACGAGGTTCAACTCTTGAGACAAGGTTCTCCTTCCCACTTGAAACATACCTGTGTGTCCGGTTATCCCAACCAATCTACAGGTCCATTCCAAACGGAATATTTATATATACACTATTTTTTTTTTATGCAAAATGGCCCCAAGCGAGGCTATAAAAGCCACTCTTGGCAAAGTGCTAGAAAGGAGAAAAATAAGACGCAACCATTTATTTTCACATTTAAATATTTTTCCTCCCTTTTTCAGAGACATGGTGTTGACAAGATATTCAAGTTGGAAAGTAACAAGCTTGAGATAAGCGGAGATTCGTAAGTACAAGTATATTGAATTATGTCCTCTGGATGTGTTGCCTGCAACATCCTATTTGAACAAGATGGGTAGCCCATTCATTGGCATTACAAGTTAATCCTATAGACCGATACGGGCACACTATTACTTCTATCACAGAGGCCCCCTTCAATGGCGAAAGCATTGTGCTAGCTATTGTTCAGATAATCAGTCAATGGGTAGTAGCTTCGCACAATAACTTGTACAAAGCTTTTACCATTGAAGGGAGCCTTGTGAGTGTACGGTGGTCACGTAGAAAACACGTACCCATATTCATCTATACAACAGCACTGCTGGCTCACAAGGGGGAGTCAGTCAGTCAGTCAGTCAGTGAGATAGGTACGAAGATGAAACCAGGCTGGCCCTTTTGCGGCAGCAAAAATCCAGGATCCGACACTGCCATGGCATAAGACTGCTTGTCTGAATATCACCTGCTGTCAAACGGAGTCCTCTCCATAACCAATGTCAGATATATATGAGCAATGCAAGTTTTATGGGACCCCGCGCGCCAGCCAGTCGGAGGCGACTTTAGAAATTGTGACGTCGTTTCAAGCAGAGATGTGGACTAAGCTGTTGATTGGTGAATTTGGCTGCCATGTGTTTGTAATACAACAATGGGTTACGGAAGAGCCGATGTAGAAGGCGCCCGCTGAATGGTCAGAATCTCGAGGTCAAGACGCAGTCTTGTTTTGCATCATTAATTGCTGAATCTGCTCGCATATCATAGACTTTTGCTGTGCAACGGGATATTCTAAAGACTATGAGACTACACAATCCAGGATTTGCTATGAACAAATGGACCTGACAAGTTTTCCATAAACAGGATTTTTGCCATTTCAAAATTTGAAAATATGATGCAAGATGGCTGAATGTATCTTTCTGTTTGACATCATCACAATTTTTTTGGTTGGACTTTGTTTTCACAGGCGCATGTACCTGGCCCGGCCAAGTGTGAAGAATGTTAAGAATATCGCAAGTAAGTGAAGAATTCTCAAACTTGTTTTTGGAAATAAATTTAAATCACATTCCTAGTCTTATCAGAAAACGTATTCTGTACTTGTTTTCACACAGATGCATTTTTTTTAACTCAAAATTTTCCAATTTTCCAATTTGAGTAAGAGTGAGTCTCTTGCTAAAAGTAAAACATGTGTGAAGAGTTGTGGTTGTTAAAATGATTTTCAAACTGGTTTTTTTTTTTTGCCCAGATCAAATTAAAGGTGACCAAGAAAATGGAAGGAGGAAAAAGTACAAAATATTATTTGTACCAAGAAAGGTGAGTGAATCCAATGGGAAATTGCTTAAAGAGGTTGTTGATTGCGTCATTGCTTAGTATTACAATGTAATACTAATAAAATAATAATTACAATAATGTGGTGTTTATGTATCCAAATGTTAAAGCCCATCGCAATGTTAACCCTGTTTGTCAGGCCATGGAAGGGGAGTGTGACCCAGTCGGTAGGCTCATGACTCTTGATCAGAGGGTCAGGAGTTCGAATCCAGCTGCTGACCATATGTTGTGTCCTTGGGCAAGCCACTTCACCCCCACTTGCCTCTCTCCACCTAGGAGTACCGGTATAAATGGGTACTGGTATTAGCTGGGGACTAGCATCCCATCCAGGAGGAATAGAAATATTAAAACTTTGTTTTTGTTCTGATTTTTTTCCCCTCCTTTTTTCTTTTTCTTTTTGGGACCCAAAACCCATAGACTTTGTACATGTTTTATTCAGCCCCCCCCCCACTTTTGACATAAAACAAAGTCATATCCCAAATGACGCTAGACTGCTGTCCAGCAGAGGGAATCGTTCAAAGTCGTTGCGGGTCGCGTCAATACTGCAGCTCGCACGAAGCAAACTTGTATCCAATTTAGCTGAGTACATATGCATGTACACGTACATCGACCGCTAATGTGCAGCGTGATTTTCTGTACCTGGCAGGCCGGGCTGTGCGCGCAGGCTGGGTTGACATGTTCGGTCGTTTGCCATTCATGTATCACGGCGCAGGAAGCATGTTTTCCATTACACAGGGTAAGAAAGAATCAAGATGACTCTGAGGATTGAATACGCAAATAATTTTTTTGAGCCTGCAACTAGACATGTTTTGATGGGAAAATTTTGAGAATCATTTTCATGGTTGTCAATGTCTTTAAGATTTTAAACGTACGTCTATAGTCTTATTTCAAAGCTGACAATTGCCATTGTCGAGACTGTGTTACATAATGTATTTTTATCTCATACTTCAAAATGCCACACTTTCATATTTTTATTGGAGTACTTGTAAACATGACGTGTTTAATTTTTTTAGGCTAAAAATATTAGTTTACATTTAACGCCACGGAAATCATTAGACTAATGGCAAATATTACAACAAAAATTAAATTGTTGATTTCGTGAAATTTGTTTAACTATTGTTCTTCCATGGATAGCAATTTTCATTGAGGACATTGCATATAATTTGCTTTACAGAAATAATACAATTCTTCAACTAATTATGTACATTTATCATAGAGTATTAATAATATTATATTCTATTACTTTTATCTCAATGCATTTGTAAATCCCGAAATCGTTAAAAATTAAACTTTGATTGGGTTGAAACTGCCAGTTTGATTAGGTTGGAACTTGGTATATATATATATATATGTGTACATAAACACGGACGTGTTACAGACAAAAATGGGGTGATGTCATGATGCTGTCATCATGGGTCCCGAGAGGTTATCTTAAATAAAGATGCATATTTGAATGTCCTATATCTGGAGATCTGGAACAGCTTTATAAATCATGAAACAATGTTTAAATCAGCATAATCTCATTAAAAAAACCACATAATGCGGAAATGCCCTATGTTCTGTTCCTGGAACAGACATAGATCGAGTTTCTTTGTTTTTACGGTTGATTGTTTCTTTTGTTTACAGTTGTACTTCTGTGAAATGCTGCTTGAGCAAGAAGGAGTCTATGGAGGTACAATTTGAATTTGAGACACAGACATCAGACAGACATCAGACAGACAGATGGACAGTACAGGGTGGTTAAAAAAAAAGGGAACCCACTTTTAACAGTAATTTTCAGGCATGCAACTTTTCCTCGGATCAGCTGATTTCCTCTTTTTTTACTTCACATGTGTACCATTGAAAATACAAAAACACTGTACAAAGTCTGGGAACAATTTGAATTTCCTCTTTTTTTTGTGATTTCCCAGTTGCATGCCTGAATTTTCACCTACTTAATGAAGTTATTTTAAATATTTTTCACATAGTAGTAAAGTATAGGCCTTTAACCATGCATGGTGAAAAAAGCTTAGTAAAAGTCGCAAAAATAGTGATATTATGCTAATTTGAATACAAGTCACCAAAATCAGTCTTGTCCACGGGTTTTCCCTGGTAACTTTTATTGAAGCTGTCCAATTATTAATGTCAGTGTTAAGATCATCTACTCCCCAGTTAAAAATAATATTTAAAACTAGGTGAAAATTGCTGTCAAATATGGGTGTCCTTTTTTTTTTAACCACTCTGTAGACAGGCGGTATATGATCTTTTAATATAGGATATGCGATCGGCGAATACGGGGATCTCATAACTTGGGATTTTAATTATTTCCACTTGAGTCCTCCATAAAGTACTTGTACTCATACTCGGAGGTCCAAGTAACTTGAACTCGACTTCACAAAACTTGTACTCAAATGTCTAAATACTTGGACTCGGGTACCTGTACTCATTCTCAAGGGTCAAAGTACTCGGATGCGGGTGGTACTCAATAGCTTGGTACTCGGCAGTCTTTGTACTCGGATAAAAGTACTCGACTACAATACTGGCGATGTGTGACCTCTCCAGACTCAAGAACCATTGAATTTTAAGTAACCATTGAATTTTAAGTAAATAGGTCTGGGAGCTAGATAAGCCAATCTAAAATAATTCCTGGATGTCGGCGGCTGCCTATAGCACCGAAAGTATGCATATACTCTGACACAGGGGTGTATAGATTCCACAAAAGGATGTCTCCATGTTTGACAGAGATACACCACTCCTAGGGCTCTCTGAATCCATCTGAAATATGGTAGGTGCATTATGCTACTCCATATGATAGTCGTCAGTGATTTTCTGTGCGTTTCCTTAACAGCCGTTGAGTTAGAGGACTTCAAGCTGGATCTCATTGCCTTGGACAGAGACATTCTGTCCTTGGAATCACCAGGTTTCTTCCGCGACTACTTTGTGGTAAGACACCATACGAATCCATGTACAATGGCTCCGACGCAACCATTTTAAAATGTTGGGCATAGCTGATGGTAGGACTGGTTTGTCAGTGATGTAGAATTCTACACAAACAGACAGCACTATTAGAAGCTTTGATTACCCTCATCCAAAAAGTTAAAAACATTTTCCAAATATTTTGAAACACCAAGTTTCATGAATTTGATCATAAGTAGATTCTGGGGTGGGAGTTTTCATCTATTCAGGATTTTTTTAGAAATAATATATTTTCTATTTCCTAGTAAATGCTTTGCCTTGTGTAAGTAAAACATTGTTTCATGAAATCCTTAGATTCTGGGCAGAAAGTATGCAACATTCATTTCACTTTATAACTTTTTGTTTGTATTTTTAGGAAGGTGAGCATTCGCTACTACACACAATTGCAACTTCCATCGTCAACCTGCAATCCCTGTTTGGTACCATCCCCCACGTCTATGGCCTGGGACGATGTGCAAAGGTATTAGTTTAATATCTTTTATAGCCTAATCCAGTAATCGCCATTACTGAGGGGCGTCAAACTCTGTGCATAATGCACGGGTTCTAAATTTCAGGCACGCTCCTGAGTGATTGCCTCTTATTTTTGTTGTTGAATAAGTCAACACATTTGGAAGAGAGTAAACTGTCTGTGAAAGCTCGGTATCTCCTTAACCGTTTGTCTCCCAGATCTTTCAAAATGTACACAAACATTTTTTTGTAAGATTGAGGAGATTCAGCCCTTCCTTTTATATTTTTAATGAAAAATCGTCCAACCTAGTGCTTTGCCTTTTCAAATAATTTCATATTTGATTATTAAAACTTCTATTTGATCGAATATGTGACTTTTCGAACATTGACAATTGAGGTGATAACTTTTTATGAATATCATGTTTTGATAAATTTATTTTAAAGATAGCTGATATTTGACTGATTTTAAATATGAAAATTAGGCTAATATTCCTCACGGAAGCTCTCGAATCATGGGGGTAAAGTGGCTGTCCTAAAAAATGTGGCATTTGACAAACAATAAAACCACTCAACTGATATAAATAACATAATATTATGGATGTTTTTTGTTATCTTCTCGAGATGGCTAACATTTTCTCTAATATTCTATTTTGTAAAATGCTATTCTGATATTCGGTGGATGTTCGGACAATCAGATATTTGGATATTCGGCACAGCCCTTTTCCAACCGCAAGGCCAAAGGCCAGTGGTGGCTATAACAAAAAAAAAGGAGACATGAAAAAAAAATTGAGGAATACTTGACTGTACTCAGCCCTTGAAAAAAATGGTACATACAATTCGGGCGATTCACAATGCAGTGCGCCACCATGAGTTTGCCACGGAGAGTTCATTTTTCCCAGTGCATTGTGGGAGATGGTCGACAAATTCGCAGCGCGGGACATTTGAAATTGTTCGTTTTTCCGGTTAGTAGTTTCATAAGCATATGATTCGAGTGTCTGTTTGCCCTTTTCTTTTCTTTTTTATCAATAAGGTGTTTTTTTTGTAAGGCGGCAGAACGCTATGCCCCAGTCTATAACAAATTAGCTCAAGTTGTCTACTGACACTCATTCAAATGGGCCATGTTTTGTCGACCGTAAACTTGAAAAATGGACTCTCCATGGCAAACTCTTGGTGGCGCACTGCATTGTGAATTGCCCCAATTGAAGAGTTTGTAGATCGTGTAGAATGGTGAAAATGACATTATTTTTTATTGGCTGCTCTTTTACCAGATGGTGTGGGACCTGGTCAACACACTGAAATCACTGCAAGGGGAGCCCCGTGCCCCCATCCGGAATGAGATCGGCCACTTGTTCTTAATTGACCGTGAGGCAGACCTGGTCACGCCCCTGTGCACACAGACCACCTATGAGGGACTCCTGGATGAAACATTTAACATCAGGAGTGGTGTGTACCTTCAAAATTTTACTTGTCCCCCTTGCCCAAAGTCAATTGGACACACTGTGCATTAATAGACTGATCCAGTATAGGTTCCCCCCCCCCATGGAATTATAGCCTATCACAACCGTTATTTATGTCCATCATGCGTGGACATGTGCATGATGCGCGTGCGTCTGGAACACATAGTGTACCATTGGAGAGACGCGCATGTTGCCCACGTACGCAGTGTTCAGGGCGTAAATGATCGATCTGTTGTGGCCCAATGGTTACATTATTTGACTCCTTAGTCCAATAGCATGTTGGTTCAAACTCCATCAGTGGATCAAGTTGTGTTCTTGGGCCAGACACTTTATCGCAATTTCTCCTATCCAATCAGGGCACACGTGAGGGTACAGCATACGGCGTATTGCACTGATATCAAACTGCTGTATAAAAACTTGACCACCTCTTGACATCATTTTGAAGTGTTTTGTAAATTGTTTTAATCAATCAAAGCGAATCATTTTTTTATGAATAATTTTCTTCTTTGTTGTGTTTAGGTTATTGTGAGTTTGGGCCGGAGGTAACAGGCACAGACAAGAGTATGAGACTATTACTGAATTGTGAGGACCAGGTAAGCTGAGAAAGTACACCACCACAGCACAGTTGTTGCAATAACGAAATGATCTTCATTGCCAAAAAAACATTTACAATTTGTTTATCTGTACATTACCATCATATCAGTTGACATTAAGAAACCATCGCTCATCTGTGACATTCCTAGTTTTTCAAAGCCTATTTTGTGAAAGAAAAACAGGAAGCTTCAACAGTTTGAAAAAAGAAAAAGATTCAAATAGTCATATCTGGAGAACTAAATGTTCAGGATTTAAACAGATTAATGATTGAAGCCCATAATCTACTGAAAAAAATATGTCAATTTTGAAATATTTGACTCATTTTTGTGCTGTGTTATCCGATGATTAGGCCTACTTTTCTTGTCTCTAGCGTGTTTTGTTGTTTTTGATTTCTGTAACTGGTCTCTTTAATTCAAATTCCATACAGATTTTTGAAGACATTCGAGACCGTCACATATCACATGTGTTCGCTTACCTCAGCGCGCAAGCTAAAATGGTCCAAACCGGCTATCAGGTAACCACATCTGTACTACATTGTATTACATTGTATTACATTGAATTTATATTGTATTTATTCCCTGAGCCATTTAAACCATACAGATTATTATGAAATACCTAATACTTGGCTGTCAGTGAGTAACAGTCTCAAGCATCCTGTGAAATCATGGCACCTGGTGTGCTGTCGTTTTCAAGAAAAGTGCAGTTTTTGTATTAATTATCCATAGATGGTCGGCCGAACAATCGTTGAAAAAAACTGACTTTTTCAAATACTGCCCCCAATTTACCAGATTAGTCCACATTTTCTTTACAATCGATTACACATCCGTGAACGAGTACAAGCAAGCTAGTCTGGTTCCCTGATCCGACAATTCCCCAACGTACATAAATTGCTCCGTTTTGTCTTAATTAGGGTCAGGGAACCAGACTACAAGAACAGCATTATTTTCTTGGTTTTTTTTAGCATCTATGAGTACAAAACATTAATGAATCCTTGGCTGTATTTTGTTTCCATTTTGTAGAAAGGACGGGAGTTACAGAACATTGGTGATGTCAAATCCTTCGTGCAGACAGAGCTCAAAGATTTGAAGCAGCAGTACAAATCACTCACAATACGTAAGTTTTCCTTTTTTTCCCCAGGGAAAAAGGAACTGTTGTTTTTCTTAACCCTTTACTGAAACTTTGTAATAATGTTGGCTTTATAGCTTGGGCCATTATCCACAGTCAGGCCCCTAGCCCTTATTATGGCAGTGTTAAAGACCAGTCATCCGCACTCGTCAGCTAATAGTAATAATAGTAATAGTGGATATTTATAAAGCGCACGTATCCACCAGGACTGGTGCTCAAGGCGCTACATCATTATTACCCCTGCTCATTGGGCACATGAAACATTCCAAATACCATCTCAGCTCCCTGGGGAGTATACAGCTCGATGCAGCCTGTTAGGCGCAAGGAAGCTAATTCAATCACAATAACCATCTCTGCCCTCACAGGTACCCATTTACTCCTGGGTGGAGAGAAGCAATGAGTGACAAAGTGCCTTGCCCAAGGGCACATGCACCATGACCCCGCCAGGACTCGAACCCACAACCTGCAGCTTTACCCGCAGACCACGAATCAGTGCCCTTAACCACGAGGCCACAGTACTCCACTACAACCCAGTGCTTGAGAACTACTATAATGATCTCTATGCAGGGAGATGTTGAGTGGATGCATTGGGTTGCGCCGTGGCTACCATAGAAATGGCCTGAACACTGAGTAAAATGGCAGAACAAAATCATTGGAAATTTGTAATTTTTCCCCGTCGTTTTACATTTTTTTGATCAAAACGGCATGTATGAATCCCTGGTCACCGATAATAGCCCGGCCTTCAGCTGTTTACATGTAAGAGTTTAACTATATGCCGTTTGTTTTGATACAGATATCGGGGCTTGTGAACGAATACTCAACCTAAAGACCAAACAGATCAACTTCGAGGAACAACTACAGACAGAGCACAGTAAGTTTTAATTTTAGTTTCAGTTTTGACTTGCGTGTGGACAAACTGAATTTTTGACCATTTTTCTGTAAATGGCCGTCACTTCTTAATTGAGGCTTTATTTTCAACGCCGTTTTCACCATATACCCCCAAGATCTTGTAGTTTGGAAATAGCTAAAAACAATTTCAACATGTCTCTCAAATTTTGAGAAATATTCATCTGAAAATGAAGTAAACTTATTTTGGATCAATAATTTGTCGACCCAAAGATCTACCACATTAACAGCTACACCAGATGTAACTTCACATTTGTGCTTTCTTTTTGTTTTCAGGTTTGCTTGAAGGCATCAACTTGAAGGAATGCTACACGTACATAGAGGAGCAAATTGACAGACAGGTAACGTGAATAACCACTTAAGGACTATGTGCACCCATAGTAGAGGGCGCTGTCTGACCTTTTTCATTTGCCCCAGTGGGAGGGACACACCGCGTGTACGTGTACTGGGCCCAATTTCACGGCGCTGCTAAGCACAAAAATTTGCTTAGCACAAAAAAGTCTGGCTTATAAAAGCAGGTTACCAGGCAAAACTACATGTACATGTGCTGTATATTGCTCGTGATTAGTATTCAGCTGTTGTTTGGTGTAGCATGAAAATCACATGGATTTTTGGCTGATAAACTTTTTTTATAAGCCAGGCTTTTTTTGTGCTAAGCAATTAATTTTTTGCTTAGCAGTGCTGTGAAATTGGGCCCTAGTCCACAACCAGTGGCGGGTTCATGTTAACGCCAGGCACAGTGGGCAATGCATTTGAATGTCCCTTCCAGTGGTCTCCCATAACTCTCCCTTTTTAACCGTTGAGGGGGTACTTGCACCCGGTGTCAATAATAAAGATTAATAATAATAACTGGATTGATAGAGCGCCAAATTGCCAAAGGATACAAGGCGCTATAACAAAGTAATGAAAAAGGGAAAGAAGACAAAGAAAAGTGGACAGCCAGCTATGATTTTGGGAAAAGATGGGTCTTGAGAGCCTTTTTGAAGGACAAAATGCTGCTTGAACTTCTGATGGGGATGGGTAGGCTATTCCATAACCGGGGGCGGCAATGGAGAAGGCCCTGTCACCAGCCTGTTTACGTGACTTGTGGATGACAAGGGACTCTCCAGTAGTAGAACGAAGGGAGTAAGGACGGTTCTGGATTGTGAGAAGAGAAGAGAGATAATCTGGTGCAGAGTGTTCCAGTGATTTGTAAGTGTGAACCAATGTGCGGAACTGAATGCGTCGGGCGACCGGGAGCCAGTGTAGTTGTTTGAGCAGAGGAGAGGTATGGGTGTGTTTGGGGGTCTGAAAGATAAGTCCAGCACATCTGTTTTGGAGTCTCTGAAACCGAGAAATGTCTTTCTGAGAGACACCGTTTAGCAAACAGCAGCAATAGCACTGGACTATGAAGAAGCTGGACTGTGACTCATTTTTAAAACACTTTCTTTTGTATTGCTAAAATTTAAATAAAAATGTATCTCGTTTCTCAACTCAACTGTGCAAAAGGATAGAAACATCTTTTAGGATGAGGCTTTCAAAGAATATTAAACAGATAAATAAATTTTTTCAAGAGATTTCTTTGGTAGTACTTTCATCATTTTGGACAAATGTGTGATGGATTTTCTTTGTGTTCATTTCTTTGATAATCCCAGGGCAGCTGGATGCAGGTAAAAATGAATAATTCCCGTGTTTTGTTTCTCCTTGCATGAAGATTTTTGTATTTTTGTAATTGCTTCTTGTGTAGGCAGAAAAATGAAAACGATTAGATAAGTATTCATGTCATTGGTCAATTGTCATCCGACTTCTACAATTTGTTGCTGTTTTTACATTGGGAATTGCGTCCTCAAAGTCATAACAAATACAGTGTATGCAAATTGTTGATATCGATTGCTCAGATTCCTGTAGACTAATTCGGCGACATTCATTTTCTGAGGTGGAATCAGGCTCACGCGAGTCGGGCTCATGTAGTACACACGCACGCCGGGCTCCTTGGACCAATAGGGTTATGAAAATGCGCACATGCCTTGTCATTAAGAACGTCAAAATGGCTTCTTATTTTATTTGCCGAATCAGTCTATCAATCAGTGTAGATTTTACAATGCTCAGTGCACACCAGTTTGAAAATGATCTAAAGAAAAATAGGCGTCCTTTTTTTATGAAGCCATTTCTAGGGCCATTGTCTTGGAGCCTCTGAAACTGTAGGCACAGTCTAATCGACAATTTTCATATTAGTGTAGGGCCTCTGTACTCTGTTTTGTGGCAGTGATTGAAAAAATAAGGTCTTTGTTTCTTACTATAGTTTAGCTCTGAGAACCCTATCGGCTTGAACTTTAATTTGAAAAGTTTCTGAGCATCAAGGATGGTTTGGGCCTTAGTTCATTTTGTTCAGCCAAACTCACTGTGGTGCCTTTAAGGGTGCCCTCTGGTCGACCTGTGATTTGCTTGCGCCGCGACAGAACCGTCAGCATCAAGCAGAAAAGTAACGCAACAAAACTGAGAAATCGTGTAATTCTCATGGAACGAGTGGCACCTCGACACAAAATAATTGCAACCATGCTCACGATGATTCCTCGGCATACATGTGATCATGTGACATCTTCAAAATGGCGGTGCGCGTGTCGACAACAGTCAAACGATCTTCCACGTCCACATTTGTTCATTCAGCCACTTTTGCTGCATGCTCATTGGCCACACAGTGAAATAAGATGATCCAGATGCGTGCACGATGTCGTAATTTCCCACAGGTTGACTACGATTGATGTTTGGAACACTTTCCGTTGTGGCGGAGTAGCATTTCAACTAAATTAGATCCACGCCAATTGCGAGGATAGTCTGTTTTGTTTCATGTTTTGAATAGATTCCGGTAGCGGTTCAGTTTGCCTTAGTATGTGTGCATGTGTAGGTGTACTATCCAGTGGTATGATATTGGTGAGGTGTTGAGGATTTTTGAAATTGTTGAATATTCACTGTGTCCCTTGCAATGCCACCCATGCATCTTTCTCATATTGTCTTGCATACTGTGAAACATGCCTAGCATAATAGTCTGTTTTTTGCTAGTGAGCAAATTTTACATTACATTGAGTATGGCTTCTTTGTTTCTGTTTCCAAAAGGTTCCACCGGACAAAATACTTAGGCTACTCTGCCTGCTGTCACTCACACAAAATGGTAAGTCTGTGGATTGCATAAGCAAATGGTCGAGCTGCTGGACTGACTTGTGATTGGCTTGTGACTGACTTGTGATTGACTTGTGATTGGCTCCTGATTGACTTGTGATTGGCTTGTGATTGACTTGTGATTGGCTTGTGACTGAATTGTGATTGGCTTGTGATTGGCTTGTGATTGGCTTGTCATGGGCTTGTCATTGGCTTGTCATTGGCTTGTGATATTGGCTTGTGATTGGCCTGTGATATTGGTTTGTGATTGGCCTGTGACTGAATTGTGATTGGCATGTGATTGACTTGTGATTGGCTCGTGATTGACTTGTGATTGGCTTGTGATTGACTCGTGATTGGCTTGTGATTGGCTTGTGATTGACTTGTGATTGGCGTGTGATTGACTTGTGACTATTTCATGATTGACTTTTGCTTTGACTTATGATTGACTTGGGATTGACTAGGCTATTCAAATGAACTGTGAAAGAAGAATATCTTCAATGATATACTTATTCTTGACTGCTGAGTAGCTTGTGATTAACTTAGGATCGACTTATGATCTGACTTGTGATTGAACATGCAGGCCTTCCAACCAAGGACTACCAGACCTTAGAGACCCACTTCCTACAGAGTCACGGTCACAAACACCTCCTGACCTTCTCCAACCTGCGCAAGCTGGGCATGTACACGGAGCAGCCCTCGGTAGAGGTCACTAAGATGACTGCTGCTGACGTCCGGACCAAACTGACCGACAAGGCCCTGATGAAGAAGACGGCCTTCAGAATGCTGTGCAAGAAACTTAACCTGGTGAGTAATGAATCTTGTAAACTTTAGAAGACTTGGAATATAGTTTTAAAATCAGTAACAAAAACTTTAACTAGAGGTCTATGTCTGTTAAGAACAGAACATGGGGTTTTTCCGCATTTTGATTGAAAAAAAAAATGTTTATGCTTTTTTCTTCCAAGTGAAGAGATGTAAATGTTCAAATTCTTGTACAAACAAAATTCCATGACTTACTAGCTGTTTTGGCAAATCTTTTGCTTCGCTAGATACAGGACATTTATGATGACGTCACATGACCTGTGATGACGTCATCTTGATGTCTGTTTTCGTGGACCTTCTTTGCTATATGGTCTTTGTCTATGTTTTTTTCCAAAAGTGCTGTAGAGAGTGAAACATGTGAAAGTCTATGTGATTTGGGCTAGAAGAAAAAAAAGAGAAGATATTAAAAACAAAAATCAGAACAAAAACAAAGGCTTTTCCGTATTAGTTGCAGAAAAGCCAAAAATATATAATAACAGAAAAACCACATCAAAACAAATACTCTCATGACTCATCACTATTCGAAAATATCAAATCTATTGTATTTGGTCAATTTTGCTGGTCCCAGAGAGCAAGCACAGTGTCTTCTTTGTATGTAGCTTACTGACTGACTGACTGACTGTCATTTGTGAGACTGGCAGTGCTATTGTATAGGATTACCTGTTAACGAGCTAAATCTGGCCCATTGTGTAGACCAGATGCATGAAAAGACTTCAGTGAATAGCCATTCTGAATCAATTGAATAGAATTTTGTGTGGGCTTTCCTGGTCTTGTATTTCAAATCTCTCATATGTAATTTCATTTTTCAGATACCTAAATCAGGAGAAGTCAATCTTCGAAATCCTGAGGACATGTCCTACGTCTTCAGTGGAGCCTTCACTCCCCTTACATGCAAACTTGTGGAACAGGTAATTTTCTACAGTTAAAGGCTTATGCTTAAAGGCATATAGGATCATTATTACCTACTGAATTATTTTCAAAAAGCTTACTTGGATTATAGTTCGGAAAAAATGTTGCAACCTGACGCCACTTCAGCGGTTGTGTACAAAGTCTATGGAGAGTCAAGAAAATTTTCTAAGTATTTCCTAACAAAATTGGAAATGTTTCTCAGTCCCAGATTCATGTCTTATCATCATTTTTGCAATGACTAACCTTCATTGAAATGATATATGAAGAAAAAAGTGGCGTCAGGTTGCAACATTTTTTCCTAAAGTTCACACTGGTACTGAAGACCTCGTGAAATTATTCCATCTGGCTTGCTGTCCTCTAGAAGAAATCAAGGAATGTAGGTGATTTCAACAATAGGTCAATTGACTGATTATTGGAATTGAGTTACTAATACGAAATCGTGTTTCCTGATCAAAAAGTTGTGCATGGTGTTTCACAGGTCTCCAAAAGTTATGGTTATGGTTATGGTTATGGTTATGGTTATGGTTTATTTTCATATCATAGCATAAAAACATTATAAACAGGAAACTACATAAAGAATGACAAAATATGATACGAGGATCCAGATAAAAAGCATTTGCTTGTACAAGACCTGGAACCCGTAATTACAAACTAAGCTAATAAATTAATAAGTACATACGATAGGCTGAATTATATCGGGTAAATACATTTATACTAATTAAATTGAACAGAAATGAATTAACAGCAAATATATTCACATTTGTATTAGGTGTAATATCCACTGAGCTGAAACTTCAATAGGTTAGGTTTTGAGCATTCCTCTTTGTATTTTGAGTGGTGTTATAATTGGAAGCTAACAAAATGCACGAAAAACAAATGATCCGATATACCTTCAAGTAGAATCCTGGGTAGGATTCGAACCCGAGACGCCGAAGTTTGAGGCGAGGAAAGTATCCCTGTGCCAACCCCACTTCCTCTAAGGCTCAGTTAATTACTTACTGTAATGGTTATTCTTTTTTCGCAGGTTCTAGCGAAAGGTGGCTGGGCGGGTCTGGATGACGTCACCAAGCTGCTCCCGGTGCCGACGTTTGCCGAGCACAAGGCCCAATCGGTCAAAGGTATGCAAGTGCGTGTTTGTGGTGTAAATCGAGGACACACACGTGCAACATCGTCAATGAATTGAGGACAGGAACCAAATCGAGGGCGACCTCAGAGTATAAACAAAGGAAAAAGGGAAGAGGAACAATAGAAAATCCTCGATTTACACCATAAACAAACCTGTGTATTCACGTGCATGCGTTTGCGTAAATACAGTGCGTGTGGGGTATGCTCAAAGTTTTCTGGGTAGCGTTGCCAAAGTTCCCAAGACTTTATGGATTCATGTAGTTGATAGGGATGTATACCTGCAATGCAGCTTTACTGCACTTAACACACAAAAAAAGTTGGGGGGTATGCTCGAAATTTTGTGGGTAGCGCTGCCAAAGTTCCAGAGACTTTATGGATTCATCTGATTGATAGGGATGTATACCTAGAAATGCAGCTTTACTGCACTTAACACACAAAAAAGTAGGGGGTGGGGGGCCTGATCTTCCTTACTCGCAGCAGAAGCTGAATTGCGAAGGACGCAGTTACAACATTGTCGAACAGAAGGCATATAATGGCGCCTTTGGCAGCCGCCATACTACTCATGTCTGATCACGGAGCACAGCAGGATCGAAATGTTGATTTTTTTGCGGAGGGACAACCCATAGAGAATCAACGAACAACTCTATTCACATATGACCCGAGGCTGGAATCGAATCGGGCCTAAGCGGTGAGAGGAGAGCGCTTTGACTCACCGCGCAACACATGCCACTTGGAAAGGAACCGGCTGTATTAGGGGAGTAAAAACCAAATCCACTCCTGAACCAAGCCTACCTACTGTCTTGTAACCAGGGGCCAATTTCACGGTGCTGCTAAGCACAAAAATTTGCTTAGCACAAAAAAAGTCTAGCTTATAAAAGCAGGTCACCACCCAAAACTCCACGTGATGTATATTGCTCGTGATTAGTATTCAGCTGTTGTTTGCTTAGCATGAAAATCGCATGGAGTTTTGGCTGGTATCCTGCTTTTATAAGCCAGACTGTTTTTGTGCTAAGCAAATTTTTGTGCTTAGCCGTGCTGTGAAACTGGGCCCTGGGCTGCAATTCATTGAGACGCTAAGCACAAACTAAGCCGTGTCTGAATTACTTGGCCACGGCTGGATATAACACGCTTGCCTATGGAAGCGGCTGCAGCCACTTCCCATAGACCTGTGTGTAATTTAAGCCGTAGCCAAGTTAATTCAGACCAGCAAGTATGCTAAGCAAATTCCTGAACAAAACTAAGCGGGGAACCATTCACAACTACTAAACATCACATAACATTTTGGCTGGTAACCGGTTTTTGCTCTGCAAATCTTTGACCTCTAACCTTTGATCTGTTGACCCAGGTCGGGGCAGCAACGGACACCACCAAGTTGCACCATCAGAGAAAGTAGTTCTGGTTTACTTTCTCGGCGGATGCACATATGCCGAGACAGCAGCGCTCAGGCTGTTGGGCAAAATGAAGGGTAGGTGTGTTTGGGAGGCGTTCTGGCAAAATGAGGTAGAACTCGGCAGAGGTTGAAATGAGGGTTTGCAGGGTATTAGGAAAGAGAATCAAATTCGCCTAACAATACTCTTTTTTTTTGCACTTCAATCCGACATTCCGTTGAGAAGTTGTGGCTGTTTAAATGTTTTATAAATAAATAAATAAACTGTTTTATTTGCCAGTTTGAAAATTTTTAAACTTGGTGATATTTATTTTGTTAATCTGGCTAACTTTATGTTCAAATACTCTCATAATTTATTACCACAAAACATCCAAACCTTCTTTTTACCTAGTTCTTCAGTTCATCTTCACCAGACTCGTGGTTCAGCTAAAGGGGATCTTTTTGTGAAACCAAGTAGAACTGAGTTTTTTAAAAAGAGTGTCTTTCATAAAGGGGTCCTATGCTGGAATGGTTTAAATACAGAACTTAAACAGACAGCCAGTTTTTCATCTTTTTGTAAAAAACTAAAAAATAGTATTACTGATTTATACACCACTTAATTTATTTGTATTATAATTTTTTTTTGATTTTATTTAATCCAAATTTTTTGATCTCTATATATCTAGTGCCACATCTCACTCATGCATAACATGTCCTTGTCCCCATTATTTGTATGTATTTTTGTCCTTGTGCCAGTGTATTTTGTTTTTGTCTTCATAGGGAAGTGGAACAAAAAGCAATTGCTTCTCCTTTTTCCTACATGTTAACATCACTTCATTATTTATTTATTATATATTGCCATAGATAATTTTTTTGAACAAGTTGTGTAAATGATGAAAATTGTTATTACATTTTTTGTTTCAATGATGTTGACATATAATAAATGTATCTGAACTAAAATGTCAACAAAAGTAAAATACTGAGAAAAAGGCCTTTCAAATTTTGAGTTTTGTGTTTGTGAAAATGAAAGAATGCAATTTCTTTTCCTTTTCAACTCTTGTATTCCACAATTTTCATACTATTACTTTAAAATATGTGTAGTAGACATATCAAAGGTTAAAAATATCCATAAACCTGATAATCAAAGCCCGTGCCCAGTTCCGTCTTATTTTGCCAGAACACCTCATACATGTATTTGTTTCTCTTTACTGTTTATTAAAATGGAATCTCTGAGAAAGGGACCACTGAAAGCTACCATTGTTTCTTTGTACCCATCATGCAGGGTACCAGTTTATCTTTGCCACGACAGCCATCACCAATGGTGCTGCGCTCATCGGTTCCATCAACGACGGCAAGAAATAAAAATCTTGGACCCGTTCCAAGACCTTCCAGGTGTGATTAGTGGCGATGCGACCATCGCCCTCTGTAGTCGGCTTCCAGTTAGCGAAGGGATGACACTGAATTTAAACTGAAACCGTTGCCGCTTTCTGACTTAAAGTCCATGTGACATAGCACCTATTTTACATTGCATTAAATTGTAATACATTGCATTACACTGTATTACATTGTATTACATTGTATTACATTGCATTACATTGTATTACATTGTATTACATTGCATTACATTGTATTACATTGCATTACATTGTATTACATTGTATTACATTGTATTACACTGTATTACACTGTATTACATTGTATTACATTGTATTACATTGTATTACATTGTATTACATTGTATTACATTGCATTACATTGTATTACATTGTATTACATTGTATTACACTGTATTACACTGTATTACATTGTATTACATTGTATTACATTGTATTACATTGCATTACATTGTATTACGCTGCATTACATTGTATAGGTCTCTCTCAAATGACGTCACTTCCTACAGATTGCAATGCGCATCTGCTTTTGTGCATACAATTTTTGTGATGCACTTCAGCTGCACAGCGTTTCGAAGAAACTTCGAGCAAAACTCTTGAGTGTTTAGAACGTTTTGCACACTGCGCGCATACGCACCTGACACGTTGAATACGCAGTTGTAATTTTCCTCTGAAGGTGGCGTCCTTTGAGAGGGGTCTATTACATTGTGTTTATTCCCTGGCTGTGCTTACTGTTAGTGAAAAATCCTCACTGTAGGAGAAAAGTCTGTGCTTATGGTAAACATATTTCACGGGTTAGCAGCTTTGTATTACATTGTATTTATTCCTTGTAGAATACATAAAACCATAGGGTGCTAGGGCAGTTAGGGGCGGTACAGGGATTTTGGGCGTTACAGGGAGTAACAGGCAGGACGGTTTGGGGTGGTACAGGGAGTAACGGGCAGGGCAGTTTGGGGCGGTACAGGGAGTAATAGGCAGGGTGGTTTGGGGCGGTACATGGCGTCATAGGCGGGGCAGTTTGGGGGAGTAATAGGCGGGGCGGTTTGGGGCCCTATAGGGACCATAAATGCTCTATTGTATTTTGTTTGCAGGCCATAAAAAGTATGTGATTAACTCGATTTTCAGATTCAATTAAACTCGTATTTTATGGATTATAAAGCAGCGGGCAAATATAAGAAGATATCATGACTCTAAATTTTGCAGAAACTGATAAGTATTCAGCAAAATGAGCCAGAAACTGTGCAGCTTCAACACATGGGCAAGTGAATAAAAATGATTAAAAAAAGTGTGCAATATAAATGTTGAAAAGTTTTTGATTGTACTGTTATTGATGCAACGTGCATGTACTTGTTCCAGTGCTATTTTCTATAAATGTTGTAATTGAATATTTTTATAAATAAAAACTCCGAATTAAAATTGATTTAAAGTCATTGTTTTAGAAAACAGTTTATTCATTTACATCATTATTTCTTCCAAATTATTTCAGTTCAGCCTACCAATAATTGTGAAATTCAGCAATGTATTTACAGAGTACAATTTTGGAATAATTTAATACACGGTGAGAAAAAATATGAAAGCACACTTAGTGAAGATATAATCCACACAGTACATTATTGTCTTATCGCAGATTCAGCTCAATTTCAATAAATATGTCATAAACAATTAAGAAAGTAATTACAAGCCTCATTCAAGCCATTTCCGTAAAAAAAAATCATAATTGTTTAACCTTTACTTTTAGTCCACACTTATTCAAAAGTCAAGAAGTTATTTTTTTAACAAACGCATTTTTGTTGTTGGGAATAGGGAAAGATGTTGAAATAAACTTTTATGTAAAAACAAATCTGTTTGAAATTGTCCCTATTTGAAAGACCTCAAGTTCTCTTTAACTACTACTAACGTTTTACTCTGTATGCCTTAAATACCAATGTAATTACTTTATCCATCAATTAAGAAAATTGAAACAGAATTTTCTTCATGTGAATTTACATCTGATGTTTCTTCATAACATAGTGGTTAATTTGGAAACATGATCTTCCAAAATTTGTAAAAAAATAACAGCGTTGCTGTTGAAACCCCTCAGCCAGAGTCAAGTTATCATCCCGAAACCATTAACCTTTAACTCAACATGGTGACCTTGACCTTTGACCCCAGAACCAGTTCAAACATGCCTGTACCGATTGAAAACCCCCTACCGAATTAGACACCAAAATTTCATTTCTAACTCAAGTTATCATTCGGAACCATTTACATTTAACTCACCATGGTGACCTTGACCTTGGACCTTTTGACCCCAAAACCAATCCCAGCTTGCCTGTACCCAAAGGCAACCCCCTACCTAAGTCAAACACCAAAATCTCATTTCTTACTCAGGTTATCATCCGGAAACCATTTACATTAAACTCACCAAGGTGACCTTGACCTATGACCTTTTGACCCCAAACCAATCCCAACTTGCCTACTCCCAAGGGCAACCCACTACCAAAGTTAGACACCAAAATCTCATTTCTAACTCAAGTTATCATCCGGAAACCATTTACATCTAACTCACCACGGTGACCTTGACCTTTGACCTTTTGACCCCAAAACCAATCCCAACTTGCCTACTCCCAAGGGCAACCCCCTACCAAAGTTAGACATCAAAATCTCATTTCTAACTCAAGTTATCATCCGGAAACCATTTACCTTTAACTCACCATGCTGACCTTGACCTTTGACCTTTTGACCCCAAAACCAATCCCAACTTGCCTACTCCCAAGGGTAACCCTCTACAAAAGTTAGACACCAAAATCTCATTTCTAACTCAAGTTATCATCCGGAAACCATTTACCTTTAACTCACCATGGTGACCTTGACCTTTGACCTTTGGACCCCAAAACCAATCCCAACTTGCCTACTCCCAAGGGTAACCCTCTACCAAAGTTAGACACCAAAATATCATTTCTAACTGAAGTTATCCGGAAACCATTTACCTTTAACTCACCACGGTGACATTGACCTTTGACCTTTTGACCTCAAAACCAATCCCAACTTGCCTACTCCCAAGGGCAACCCCCTACCGAAGTTACAACCCCAAACGACATTTCTAACTCAAGTTATCATCCGGAAACCAAGCTACCCGGACGAACGGACGGACGGACGGACACACAGACAGACGCCCTAGGCGATGACAATACCCCTCGAGCCTCTCGGCTGAGGGGTAAAAAGGAAAGAGTTCCATACCTGGACATCACTTGACACCCTGTGCACAAACCCTATGAGACTGGTCTGAAAAATTCTGAGTGTTTTCGCAGTAAATGATCCAATATTTTCCCGGCTAAATTTGACTTTGTAGGACATGTTATCGCTTTCTGATGGCTGATTGGTCACTGCAGGGAGAAAATAATGATGTTCATGTATGGAATTCTTCCCGTAAAAAAACTACAAATTTTAACAAAACAGTACCAAAATTTGATAGGAAAACATGTATCGATGAAAATATGGAATATTATTTTAGATATATATATCCTTTCAGCCTAAGTACAGCCAAAAGTTGTTATTATACAACGCCTAAATAAACCCCGTTATCTGATTGGTGGGTCATTGATCACATGTCATTGAATTATTCATCCCAACCCAGGGCCCGGCCGCGCCACAAAAGTAGAAGTTCCATTCCACGGTAATTGAAGTTCCATTGCACGGTCACACTATTGGTGGCTCTGACCGATCAGATGACAAGGATTTATTCAGGTGTTGTATAAAACAAATAATGAATGTTTCACATTCGTGCAATGGAAAGAATTAATTCGGTGACACATGGAATGTTCCATTCCACGAGGCGAACTCGGCTTCGCCTTGTATAATGGAACATTTAGCCAGGTGGTGTATAAAACAAATAATGAATGTTTTACATTCGTGCAATGGAAAGCATTAATTCGGTGACAGATGGAATGTTCCATTCCATGAGGCGAACTGGGCTTTGCCTTGTACAATGGAACATTCCATCTGTCACCTCATGAAATTATTCTTACCATTGCACTCATAAACACTGATTATGTGTATAATAGCACCTAATACCAAAAAATGTAGCATGCTCAAAAAAAATTTCAGCAAGAGCAACGCATCTGTTCAGTGCAAATAACTTTTATAAAGTGAAAAAATATGAAGATAGAAAATTATGTGATAAAACTTCTACAATGCCACAGCATGCAACCTTATTTTGTTTTGGGAAAATACAAAAAAATGGCCGACTGCCAGTATAAATACAAAAATATTGAGCAACCTTATAGATGTGTAAATTTGTTAAAAATTGAGCAAAGTCATAAAACCACTACAGACTTAGAAACTGACACAGCAAAAATGGCGAGTACAAACATCACATTGTGCATACTTCAAGTGATTGCTTCTTGTGTTTTTCCAGCTAAGAACTTGATCACTCTGAATTCCTAAAAGTTCCTCAAGCTATGTTGGATACAATTTTCAAGCAGATAAAAGTCAACCTCATATGTTGCCATATGTTGCGATTTAAGAAAAGCTCACCCTGTATTCAGTGGAAAAGTTATGAATGTAAAGTCAGGTAAAGATGAAAATATACTTTGATAGGAAACCTTGCATTGTTTACGTTTCGTCTAACGAGGCCTGTACTGCTGCCTCGATAGCAGACACTAACGTTATCTTGTCAGTCTCGTCTTCAGTTGCGCAGACCCAGCGACGCTTGGGTGTCTGGAGAACAAATGCGCACTTCATGTCTGTGGAAGGGACAAATATTAGTTCTGGTTATTGTTCAAATGTGCAGCAGGCTCAGCCTTGCCTGCCCAGCCCAGCCATGCCCAACCCAACCCAGCCTTGACTAACCCAGTGCAGCCCAGCCAAACCCAACCCACCCATAGTTAACCCATGCTGCTCAGCCCAGCCCATCCCAACCCAGCCCATCCATAGCTAACCCACGCAGCCCAGCCCATCCCAATCCAACCCGTCACATCAAAACCAATGTCCAGCCCAACCCAATGGAGCCCAGCCCTACCTAATGCAGTCCAGTCCATCCCATCCCAACCAACCCAGCCTATCAAAACAAAATACATCCCATCCAAACTCCGTAGTCCAGCCAAGCCAAACTTAACCCAGCCCAGCCAAACCAAACTTAACCCAGCCCAGCCCAAACTAATGTAACCCATTCCAGCCCCGTAAAACCTAACCTAAACCAGCCCATCCCAAAGTAGCCCACCACAGCCAAACCTAACCCAGCCCAATGCAGCCCAGCCCAGCCAAACTCAATACAGCCAATCCCAGTCTAACCCAATGCAGCCCAGCTTAGCTCAGCCCAGCCAAACCTAGCCCAACCCAATGCAGCCCAGTCCATCCCAGCCCAACCCAATACAGCTAAGTCCAGCCCAGCCCAATTTAGCCCAGCCCATCCCAGCCATACCCAGCTCATGGTCTTGAAACAATGCCAAGTGGATGAAAATTACTCTATCCAGCTTTTTAAATTTTTTTGAACTTACATTTTGAGTCCGGTAGCTCCTGTACCAGCAGTCTGGGCAATGCGACTGATGAGTGGAACTGATACAGTGCCTCAGTCTGTCGTGTGTATGGCAACGTCTTGATTGTTCGTATGGTCACCATCAACGCATCGTTGAATAGGAACAGACCCAGGTCTTGCACATGCTCATACAGACTGCATCAGAAAAAAAATACAGTTTATAGATACTACAATTTTGTGAGTGTTTCATGACAAGAATCTCTGTGAACCAACCTTGGAAAGCAGATAATAAAATGCACAGCAGATTTGCAGTATTGGAAGTAAACGTGACGTATCACTTGATCCGAGTTTGAATTCCTGCGATTCTGTTTTCATGTAAATTCTTGAAAATTTCTCAATTTATCCTTTAAATGCTGTGAGTGAGAATGGAAACCTTTCATACAATACATTAGGCCTGTCCCAAATATACCGAATACTCGAATATTCAAATACAACCGAATATTCGAATAGCTTTTATCGGTTTGAATATTCAAAAACAATAAATATTATGCACATACACACACGCCTTTGATATTATTTTATCGTAAAGTTGCAGCGCTTTATTGTCATGTGCCACTTGTCTGTTGACGACAATTTCTTTGTCAACGGCGGTTCATTGTTCAAATCCTTTTAGAAGGTTATAGAATACTTACTGCAAAACACTGCAACGCCCTATATCGATTGCTGCACGTAAATTTTAATTGGCGCGCTCTTCGTTCAACTTTTTACCGGCGCAGCATGCAGTTGCAGCTGGCTGTTTCAAATTGCAGTTGGAAGTTGCAGCTGGCTGTTTTTCAGTCACACTCAGTTTCAAGTCGTCAAATACTAAATTATTTGCAAAAGAACAGCCCTGCAATACATACAGCTTATGCTGGGTTTGTGTTGTCCAGAAAAGGGCTTAATACATACACATATTATGGACCAAGTACAGGTTGTTCACAAGAAACCGCTTGAGAAAGAAAAAACAAATTCACAGCATACCATAGTGAATGAAGTCTGTTCTTACCCCGTTGCCTGGCCGGTTTCTTCAACTTGCTGCATGTTAGCAACCACCTGCTCTCTGATCAGGAAGCGGTTTGCCTCCAGCAGGGCTGGGCACTTCTTGATGCGACGCTGCAACTCTTGCAACTGGCGCTCTCGCTCCGACCTCTCATGGCACTGTGCATCAACAAAAAAGTCTGATCTTATGATGGCAAACACAGCAAAGAGCAAATTACCTTCCTTAAGCACTTGTATAATTTGGTCTATTTTCTGTCTCCAGCATTTTTTTGGAAAATCTGAAGGAACAAACCTCATCCACGAATGCCTGCAGCTGCCTGAACATTTTCACAGCCACGCCCAGGTCCGTGTTGTCAGGGTGTTCGTCAGCGGTCACGCCCTGCTGGGCTAGCAGCATCTGGATGTACTCACTGATCCGTCTCGCTGGGAGCAGGAATAATTCCGTCAGTGACATCATGCCGGTTTCGGGGGAGCGATCGGTGCGCTTCAGGAAGGCACGGAAGGCTGGATACTGCTGCCGACACTGGAAGGAGAAATCAGAAAAAAAGGTTTGTTTGTTGCACTGATGTCTATCACTATGAACCTGAAATGTCCGATACGCTTTTGTTCCGGACAAAATGTCTGAAATGTGGACAATAGCTATCATTGTTCAGTTACAAAAGGAGGGTTCGGGGCGGCCACTGGGAGCAATGTTTGAACGCATTGCTGACAACAACTGACACTCAAGCTAAGACGCTATGGCTTTTTGTACATTCAAAATAAAATTACTTGTGCATAATACACACAATATCAAGCAAACCAGTTTCCGCACGTAACATGTCCAACTCACTCAGGCTCTCGAAAGTGATCCTGCACGGAGCCCATACTGACTGGTTAGCTCACATTAGCAATGGTGTTATCAAAATGGTCAAGCATTTTTACTTTTTACTGGGCCTCTGATTACGGAAAACTGGACGGAAAGTGAAATTTTTGATGTACGGAATTATTTGACTGATAAAATTTAATCGAATAAATACTGAAATTAAACATACAGCCACTGATTGGATTAAGTACAGCCTGTCTAAAAAAAAATGGTACAATCAGAAAAAAAATTGGTTAAATATGAAATTTCAAAATAAGTCATTCTTACTTGGCATAATATTAAAGAACAAAGACTGGGCTTTCTAATAGTGTTTGTTTGATCTTACTTACTTTTGTCAATTCAGAGATATAATCAATTTAGTGCGATACACCAAAATCGATTTTGTGCCACTTTTATGCATGGGCAGAGTTGTTTCGAGTACTGTCCCATGCTGTCTTGAAGCTCACAAAAGATTGCAACTTGGCAAAAGAAACAAACTCAATTTTTGTGTTCTGCAGTAAACTGGAGTTATCTCTGGATTGACAAAAGCAAATGAGATGAAACAAAAAGTATTGGAAAGCCTGGTCTTTTTCCTTTAATGTGAGGCTCAAAACGACTTACTTATGCTGAGATTTAATATTGAAAAAAAAAATCGTTTTCGATTGTATCATTTTTTTGAGACAGGCTGTATAGACCTCCTCCCCCCAATAACTGTAGGGAAAACTTTCCATCCAAAGATGATCACCCCTAAAAGTAGTCCTGAATCCTGTCGCCATTTTGAAAAAAGTACGCCTATGCCCCATTACAAAATAGCACGATTTTGGGGCCCAATTTCAGTTCTGTCCACCCTTCTTTTTTACAAACCCTCAAGTTTACGGCCCACATAATGCCCTTATAGCAGAAAAAATGGTGGCATGCAAATCGTGATTTGGCCGGCGTAGACAATTTCCAGCCTGCACCCTCAGGTAGTGGGGGTGTACTGCTCAACGCAATGGGGATGAGATTTCACTTCTGTGTAAGTAATAACCTTATCCAATGTGGACAGCACAATCTGGTAGTTCTTGTGGAAGTTGGTGTACGCCTTCAGCTTCGCTTGTAATTTGATGAAGCAGTCCCCAATACACTGCTCCGGACTCCACTGCTCCAAATGATCGCTCAGGTCCTCCACTAACTCCCTTCAAAGAGGAAGCACCAGAATTGACAAATCAATGGGAGACTTTTGAGACGTTGGTGGCAGCAAAAACACAGGTCCTTTTATGTCATGTTTAAGCCAAAGCACGCATGCTCAATATGACGCAAACAATGGAAAAAGGACCGGTGTGTTTGCTGCCACCAATGTCTCAAAAGTCTCCCATTGATCCAAAAAGTGATAATGAGCCAAAAAAAGTGCTTTTGAAGTATGTTTAGGAAATGTAAGAAACTCAGCAAGAATCATCTGGCAGTAAAATTTAATGTCAGATTTTTGTTTGAAAATTTGTCAATTGGGTGTAAGAAATAAAATGATGTCTTCAATCAGGGCAGGATTTGAAATTATGTAACACATTACTCACTATTAAACTCAAGGTTGAACTCTGAGGGAGCCTGTAAAACCTTGAGGTAAACCTCGTAAAACCTCGCGATAAACCTCATAAAACATAAAGATAAACCTTGTAAAACTTTGAGGTAAAACTTCTCGGTAAACCTCGCGGTAAACCTCATAAAACATAAAGATAAACCTCGTAAAACCTTGAGGTTAACCTCGTAAAACCTTGTGGTAAACCTCGCGGTAGACCTCATGAAACATAAAGATAAACCTTGTAAAACCTTGAGGTAAACCTTGACATATGACCAGTTTAATTTTGCATTCTCTCCCTTTAGTTTAAGCCTTGGATTTCACATTCACCGTGTGATGGACAGGATCAAGTTGGCGTCGGTGAAGATCATCTGAATGTTAGCCTGGCTGATGATGGCTTTGTTGGACTTGATCGCCGCCACGAGGGGTTTACGATAGACATCCTCGATGATGCCGAGATGCTTCAGGTAGTTGAGCTCTGACGACAAGATCTGGATGGCGGTGCTTTGCCTGACGTCCCCCGTCTGCAACTGTGGAGGTAAGTTTGATCAACAGCCATCAATGTAGGAGTTATTTCATTAATTGAACAACCACGATAAGTTTGACAGAGAAGCTTGGCTTTCTGCCTGTTCTCATCCATTTACTGATGTAGTACCTAGATGCAGAAGAAAAGGATATTCAAACAGCTTTTTCTGACGAGCCGCAACTGTTTGGAAATTCCTTGCCTGGTGCTTGTTTCCCTCCAACCTATGATCTGTGCCGTTTCAAGAGGAATGTTAATTCCTACCTTCAGTTTTCCTGAGTGCCTACTCTTCTTTTATTTCTCCTGTAGCCCTGTACCTTGAGAGGCTTTTTGTTCTGAAATTTCATTCAACAACTGAGGTTTACTAACAGTGTTGCAGTCGGATCCGTCAAAAGTCCAGTCACAAGTAAATCTCAAGTCCAGTCACAAGAAACAGTGGATGAACAAATAACAAAGGAATGCCTTTGTCTAAGCTCACTTTCAAACTCAAAGCCTGTGAGTTGAATTGAGGCTGGAGGACTTGTGATGGACTTGTGATGACTTGCGATGGACTTGCAGGGACTTGTGATGGACTCGACTCTATAACACTGATTGCTAACCTGAGTTACTTTGAAGGTTGATGCTTGCTGGGTACCAGCCGTGACTGGTACCTCTGCCGGTCGGAGCTCTGACACGGAAGAGTACAGAGCGTTGCGGTTGATATTTTCAACCTCGCTGTCAAAGTCGGAGATTTCCTCGCCGATTTCCTCCGAGATTTCACTGTCGCCATCCATGTCGAGACTGGACATCTTTTTGAGCTGTTTCTGAAAAAACCCCAAAATGCCTTTACTACATACTGGAATAAGGACAATTTAAAAAAAGTAGTTTCTCATCCGGGCTTTTCAAAAAGAGTAGAAGGCGGTCCTGTTTCCCCCCCAAGATGACAGATTTTACGATAGATTTTTCTATTTTCACATCTCTTTTGCTGATACTTTTGTTTCACACGGAGCCGTTGTGTGCTGCCCTGTTAATATCTTGAATCAAAGAAAAATATGCACTGCACTGTTGAAATGTACCTTCAGTGCCCCCCACCCTGAAAAATGTGTGCGCCCTCAGGTGCGCCCCAGAAGTTTAACTCTAGTTACGCCACTGAACAATGTATACTCAGTGCTGTCCGAGGGCTTTTGAGAAATGACCCACAAGCTTAATTGGGTGCGACTCGAACCCACGACCTCTTACCACTCGACCACCGAGCTTGCCGTGGTCAGCTGGCTGGTTTGAATCTAATTTGATATTGAATCTAAAAGACCCAATATTGAACTAACGTTACTCAAAACTAAAACTAAAAACTAAACTTGTTTGTCCAAATGTCACAATTTTTTCCCAATCCTAAAGGCTTCCAGATCTCTCTTACTTTGAAAATGATAAGGAGTTTTTGCAAGGAATCTTACAGGTTTGGCAGTTGATGCTACGGTTCCCTTGGTTGGACTCTGTTTTGCAGCTGGTGTTTTATGAGCGCCGATATCCGAGACACTCTGTCTGCTCCCCTGAAGAAGTTGCTTGCCAACAAATGCTAGCGGATCCACCTGTGAAACGCAGATCATAAAAGTAGTGTTGTCCATTTTGTTGTAATCACTGGACTGGCTTTTATGACATTACTGGGACACTCCAAAGATCGCTTTGGTATTTCGCACAATGCACTCTTCAGTGTCAAGCATTTTTCTACAAAACGCACAAGTGATGGGTGCTCAGGCATGGAAGCATCCCAACAGCTATCGGACCCGTCACCATGATTTCAAAAACAGATTGGTGTATAGTGCTGTACATTTGTGAATATTTTTTTATTCGATTATTTAAACTTGGATTCGATATTCGCATGGAATATGTTGATCAAATTTGAAATGCATTAGTCAGGAACTGCACAAGTGCGAGTGCTGGCTGAAATTCGTCTTTCCCAATCAATAATTAACCAGTTCGCGCTGGGATTATTTTGACAAGAACTGAACGAGGCGGGGGATTACTTTTCACTCGACCTTATGCCAGGTGGGTTGAAGCCATCAGCCTCGGACAGCACATTCATATTTCCGGCCTCGCTCGCTGCGAGCGGGTCGCTGACAAATATTTCAGGCCTCGCTCCCTGTGTGTTTATCCGTCATCCGTGCCGAATACCGCAAAACCTTTTCGGGTATACACGCCATCCGGTGCGAACTGGTTAAATGGGCCACTGATTGACATTTTTTTGGCATTATTTTGCCTGACAAATATTGACACTGAGCTCAATAAGATATTAAGATCATCGTGTATGTCCACAAAGTTATCAGAGGATGTATAGCAAAAACTGTACCATCAGTTACAAAGTCAATTCCATGTGTAAATAAAGGTACAAAACAAAGTACAATCACCTCGAGGGTCTGGGTAGTTAAGTTGGACAGCGCCTGGACAAGCGAGGGCGCTATCTGTCCCAGTCTGGCATCCTGAATACCAAGGTTATTGAATATAATATCTCCTGCAAATATGAACACGGTAACAAAAGATAGTAAGTGATACTGCCTTTTCAAATACTTCACATAGATAGCTGTCTATAATTCTGCCCTGTGCGAAGTGGAACATAACCATGCACGTAGAACATATTTTCAAAATGGCTCGTGGAGGCACTTCACAACTGTTTTGCAACAGAACCAAAATTCTACACAAACAGGCATAAAAAATGCTGTTATTATCCTCATCCAAGATGTGTAGATTATTTAAAACGTTGCGCACCTACGACACGTTTCGTGAATTCGATCATAAGTTTATCGCACAGATGCGCAACAAATTTGTTGCATAATTCCTACAAATGGTGTAAGTTATGCACCATTTTGAGAAATCAGCTGCTGTTCATGCACCCCATCAACCCTCTGAGTTGTCTCATACACACACACACACAGAGCCCTACCTGTGAGTTTGGCAACCAAGTCTTCTCTCTCTTCCCTGAGGAAGCTCCTCAGTATCCTCTGGCAGGCTGCTACCGCCTCCATCACACGTTGTGAGGATGCCAGCCAGCCTTGCAGCTTGTCATACTCCAGGTACAGGGAGGCCGGGCTGGGCGATTTACCCCAGTTATCCCACTCACCCATAACTGCAGGCAAAGAGGCACATGATCAAAATTTGCTGAAAGGTTGATAATCCTTACTCGGCATGAATATGAATGTTATTACACAAACGTGAATTTCTGACGTCAAGTCAAACACATTTAGAAGCCTCTTACTAGCGCCTCTTGAACAGAGACATTTGCCTAAAGGGGGAGCTGCCAACATAGGGCTGGATAGCTCTGTTGGCAGAGCACGGGAATGGCAATCCGAAGGTCGCAGGTTCAAACTCCGCTCCAGGCAATTTCTTTGAAGAACCTTAAAAACATTTAACGTACACAGAATCATTTGCGTTTTGTGTGTGTGTGTTTTTTTTTGGAAGCGACAGAATTGCCCAAGATCATAAGTCGGCAATGAGAACAGGTTTCTGCAGCAGCTCATGATCGGTGCAATCTGGTCTCTGCCTTCACAGGTACCCATATATACTCCTAGGGTGGTGAGAGACAATTGCAGTAAAGAGTCTTGCCCAAGAACACAAGCACAATGTTTCACTGTCAGTGTTGGAACCCATGTACCATCACACATCAGTTGTAAACCTATAACCACTGGACCACAGAGCTACCATCCACATCTGTGAGAGTTGTTTTTTGCAAAGTACGTTTGGAACTGGGAGTTGATGTTGTACATACCGTGTCCATACTTGGAGTCAGTGAGTGTGGAAGGGGACGTGATGGGAACACCAGTCAGTCGACTCAACTGCTGTAAGAGGGTGCAGCCGTCATCTGCAACACAAAACACATAGAAATATTTTGTACTTTTCAAAGGTTTTGGACTAATATATTTATAAGTTGTGGGGGACTCCACCTTGACATTGCCTGGAAGAGACCCAGTGGCCGACCCCGCAACACCTGGGTGCGACAGCTAGAAGTTGACCACAAGACACTCGCACAACAGCTGTGGCAGTCTGCATCTGATCGCTTGGTCTGGGCGGCTCAACGTCCCCATGATGGATATAGAGAATGATGATGATGACGATGATGATGGAAATCCCTTACATTTGCACTAATTAGGGAAAATGGGAGACTGCTTTGCAGCAGACTGTCATCACACCAGTAAAGTCCACGCTTGCCCTTATATTTCCTTTCGAGAGTAGGATCCAGCCAATTACAAAAGTTGGGTTCAAAACCGCCGCAGTGAAACACAGTGTTCACGGGTGACTGCCACAGTTTCATGATACTGACCTCTGAGTAACAGCTCAACTTTGTCACAAAGAGCTGGTAATCGTGTCAGTCATATGTGAACTGTCACAATGAAATCAGCTTGAAGTTGGAAATTGCCGTTTTGCAGCACAGTGGAGCAAAGCCAAAATTTGAAGGGATGGTCTTTTTTTTGTTTTCAGGTGAACCTTTATCTGTAAGTCCTGTTTTATTTTCTCCAAATTTGTTCGCTCTGTCAAACATCTTTAAATCCTATTTCATCCAGTTTTTATTGTGTCGTCTTTTGTTCACTGTAACACAACTGTAGGATTTTTAAATGCCATTTTCTTGAGAATCAGTTTTACAACTTCAAGAAAGTTGGTGGTTTATATTGCCGTTAGTGAATTCAGCACCCCTTAATGTTATATACTATTGGAAAGCTCTTGTTCTGCAGAATGCAGATATACAAATATCTCAATTCTTAAAATGTCTGACTTGAAGCTCATTTTGTGATGACAGGTCGCATAATTTTTGGGGGGTCTTGACCTACCGCAGGCAGCCAGGGGTACAAACAGGTCCAGATGACCCCCCTGAGCACCGGGCAGGATGGTGGCGCACACCCTCTCCCAGAAATGCTTGAGTTCCGGTCTCTCCAGGGATGCGTTGCTGGTTGCCATGGAACCCACCAATTGGATTTCATCACAGCCCTCCACCATGATGCCAATACTCCTAATGAAAATAATCAAATGTCAGAATAAAAAAAGTGGGAATTTACTTCAATTATATTGGTAACATAAATTGTATTGATTGCCATAAAATTGAAATGGCACCACGCTCACAAATACATGGGTCCCAACTGGGTACAGAGCCTAATGTCTGTATTTCTTTTTTTTTTTCTTCTTCAAACTTAACCGCAACATACCTAGCTTGCAATCCGGCCAGCGCTTCTTCAATCTTAAACAGGAGAGACTCCAAGGTGGTTCCAATATACTCATAGGCTATGACCAAGACATCTGGCTTGACTGCAGACATTAGAAGCTGAGATGGTAAAGAGCAGAGAAATATCATTATGAGCCCTCGATTGCATTGGCCGAAGTAAAGATGCCTCTGTGAAGTTTTAAGTACCCTGCACACGCGCACGCACATATTATGGTCAGTAGTACAAGGGAAGCAGTATCTGATTAAGCTCCTAGTCTCCTAACCGACAAGAGTGTGAAATTACAGGTCTATATCTGCGTTGATTGGCTGTAGACTGGTTCCCACTCAACCCAGAAAATGGGGACTGAAAGCTATCTTGCACGTAAAGCTTTAGACTGGACAACATTTGTGTGTGCGTTGAAACTTAGTTCCATTTGTAGGAGATGATGTTGACATTCTCATGCATAATGACAGTTGAGCACATTGCATCAAAAACATTTCACTACGTGGGAACATGGAAGTGGCAACCCCGGAAAAGCAAGTAATTGTAGTTGCGGAAGCAATTCATCAGAGCCTAGGATTACTGATTCTCTCTGTACAGACAGCAAAAATACTGGACAGAAAAGCTGCGAAAAGTATATGGTGAAATACATGTGTTGGCAGGAGCCTTTTGCAGAAATTGTGAGCACAAACCTAGAGACAGAAGACAAGAAGACGTGAGTTTATACTACAGGACATACCTGCATTGCCGTAATTTGTGAAGATATTACGAGCAGACGCGGGTTTTGACGTGGCCCTGCTGCGCTCGTTTTGCCCAGTGCATTGTGGGAATGAGCTGCAATGCCTCCTGGGTATTCACCCCCTGCAGACAAGTCTCTCCTGTGAAAAAAACAAACCAAGAATTGATTAAAATGTAAACAGACTCACCAACAGATGAAGCGTTCTTGTTTTCAATCCACCAAAAGAACATTTTTGGATTTTGAAAGCTGTTGTCTGAAGAGTGACACTTGCGGGATTGGCATGCAGGCCGCCGCCATTTTGACAACAGTTTTGTCGATGATGTTATCGTTCCACCTGGGGGTGGTATCACCTGGTTCCACCTGGTTTGTGGTGAGTGGAATGCACCCAGATCTTGGGTCCTCCTCATTTCAAATTGGTACTCTTTAGTCTTGAGGAGGCTTTAACACAGCCTACCTGCGGGAAACCGGTTTCCTGGCCTCATGTCTGATGGACTGTAGCAGGGCCGAGCCAACCGGTTGCCCCATCTCCAGGGCTATGCTTGCTGATAGCGTCACTGCCTCGGTGGATACCTCAGACAGGTCTAGGTCATCTCTCTGAAATAATCAAATATGTTGATGTTTCATATTCTAACTTGGTGAACAGTTGGAGGATTATTCAGAAGTTTGTCGATTGTTACAGTTTTACAATCTCTACTTTATTGTTAACCCATTAACACCCATACTACATTTTCTTTATTCAGTGACGAATCCACAAGACCATGGCATGCTCAGGCAGTTTTGGGCAGTACAGTGAGTAACAGGCAAGTTGATTTCGGGCGTACAGTGACTGAAGGGTAATGGTAATGTACAACATTTGTAAATTAACATTGAAAAGTTGAAACTAAATTATTATGAAATAGCTTACTCGACAGTAGGTGAATAATAGTCTGAAGTATTGTGTGAAACCATGGCACCTGGTGTGCTGTCATTTTCAAGAAAAGTGGAATTTTGTATATTTTCCAATGATGGTTGGCACCCAATCTTTGAAAAAAAGTCTTTTTTTTTCAAACGCTGCCCCAAATTAACAAAATTTAGTCCACATTTTGTTTGCAACGGGTAACATAAGTATTCCCTGACACTTCCTTGACTTGACAATTTCCCAGCGTCTATAAATTGCCCCGTTTCATCTGAAGTATAGGGTCAGGGAAATTACAGACAACAAGAATGGCATTATTTTGTTTTTTTCCGGCATCCATGAACAAAAACAGGTCAGTGGAAAACAGACTCTGCAGCATGCATGCAGACAAGTGCATCACAAAATAATGCATTGTTTCACGACCGTTCTAAAATTAAGAAAACCACTTACCCCCTGGGCTCTGTGTTGTTCTTTCCTCGTCTTCGTGCCGAGACCGTAATCAAACACCCTAGCGGGTTCAGTCCAAGACCGCCCATGTTTCCGTGATGACAGTGACGACAGGGTCATTGTCTTGCCATTGGAATGTTTAAGGGTGGATGGCGGTAGCCCTGGTTGGTTAGGATTCCCGGAATGCGCCATGCTGCGGTAGGCGTTCTCTAGGTCCTGTGGGCGAGGGTCTGGGTCCAGCCAGACTGGCCGACTGTCTACTGGATAGATATAATGTTCACGTAGGTTATTAGAAAGACGTCAGCAAGCATAGCATGGCCAAATTTTCGTGGTGCTAGTTTTTTTTGCTGTCTGAGCCTCGATCCAAACGGCGATTGCATTAAGCAGAAAGCATGCTATTTTCAAATGTACAACTTGCTTAAAATTGTGACGCAGCAACAGATCGACAATCTCTATTTGAAGACAATGTCTGCATGTCTAGGCAGTGAAATATGATTTAGATTAGGCAGTGAAATATTATTATTATTATTATTATTATTATTATTAATCATTTCTGGTAATGAAACCAAGGATTCTTCAAAAGCGCCCTAGGCACTGTAGCTCGCAAGCCTGAAGAAACCTGTGGAGAGAAGACAATGAGAAGAAATTACAGTTTTAGAGGTGGGAGGAAAAGCCCAGAAGAATATTCTGAGGAAAACCCATGGAATCAGGTAGGGACTGAAAACCCAATCCACATGTTGGACCAGGCGGGATTCGAACCCGGGTCACAGCGGTGAAAGGCGAGGAAAGTACCACTACGCCAACCTGACTCCCTGATTTAGATTTGGCATAATGTTTGGCAAGATTGGACCCCATACTTAAGAGTCACCCAAAGAGTATTAGAAAAAAAGCAAGAGATTTCTTACACTTGTAGCATGGATCAGGGCTTCTAGTTAAAAAAAGGCAATTCAGACTTGTATTAAACTACCATACTTTCCCTGACAACCCCACAGACCAGAATTTTTAGACAGTTTAGAAAATGTTTGGCAATTTTCCAGAATGTCTAAAACTTTTAACCGATGGGTAAAATTTTTAAGACCCCCAGAGCGTTGCACTGGTCCCTGGTATCTGTTCCTAAAAATGCTGATACTCACAACTACTTGAGACAACAAGGTCACTCGATGTTTGGTTTTTCTTCTTTCTAGCTGCAGCATCGTCCAAATCCGAACCGTCACCCATGCGGCCATATAGTCCAAACTGAAACGAATCAAAAATGAAACACCACGAAATGACAGCAACCCTGATACCGGGAACACATTGGTTTTCCAGCTAATCTACATATGTTATGAGCTTGAAAAACAAATAAAGCCAGAAAAAAAGGTGCGTAGGATCAAATCTGAGGGGTGCATGACAAATATTAAACCTGGTGAAATTTTAGCTTAGTGGATACCTTACATTTGAGAAAACACAGGAAACCTTTAATGCACAATTTGTCTGGTCGTGTAAAATATCCGTTTCAGTTTTTTTTGTATTGCGCATTCTCCTGGACACAATCCCTAAATCAGCAATCGGGACATGGTTCTCATTCAGCTGGCAAGGATTATAAGGCAATACTTGGTGCTGAAGCCCCAAACATTTGACAATGGCTTTAACCACTTTGCGCCGGGATTATTTCGACATTGACCGGGCCCAGGCGCGGGATTGTTTTCCACGAACCTCGATGCCAGACGGGTTCAGGCCGTCATCTGCGGGTAGCACACCCTGATATTTCCAGCCTCGCTCGCTGCAAGCGGGTGGCAGATAGATATTTCCAGCCTCGCTTGTTTATCCGTCATCCGTTCCGAATGCCGCAAAACCATTGCATGTGTACACGTCATCCGACGTGAACTGATTAATACTACTTAAGTAAGATCATGCCCCATTTACGGATTTAACAACCTTTGAACATCGTGGACTGACTTCAATGTTTTCTTTTGAATGATACCATTTCAGGCAGAATAAGTTCAAAGGGTATTTGATACCAGTCCTATCTTCTCTTGGAGCAAGGCTTTTGTCATTTAAGTGCTAGTTACATTTTCTGGTAATAGTACATGAAGTACCAAGAGTACATTGGACTTACATCTTTTGGTGATTGGGCAACATCCAGTGTTCTTAGGCAGTGGATGTAATGCCTCTTCCATGCTCCGTACTCGTTATCTTTGGGTTTATATGGCAAGAACCATCCAAGCTTGATGCATTTGGGCATCCATAGAATGTCCTGAAAATATGAAAATAACATAAAACATAAAAATATGATACCAAAGTCAGATAGGGTACAACTGAAGACAAGTAGTGACGCACCGACCTTTTAAATTTCCATACAAGATGGTCCAAACCCTCCACTGAAAACATTGTGTCCTTGGGAAAGGTACTTTACCACAAGCAACAAATGCTAAAATGCCGACTACAGGCTCAGTTGCTTTTCATTACTGATTGTGAAACAGAGACCGAGACCAAGACTTGATGCTCCAAAAACTGAGGCATGAAGGTCCAAGACCAAGCTTGAGACCTAGAGGTCTAAGAAGGAGACCAAAGGATTTGTGGAATGAGACCAAGAATAACAAGAGTCTCGAGAGTTGTCTTGAGACCAAGATACGCGGCTTCTTACCTGCTCAGCAAGGAACTTCCAGTGCCAACACACCATGGCCGCTTTGCTGAGGCTGCGGGGGTCCAGGAAGGACAAGATGTAGAGGGACAGGAAGCGTGGAAGCACCGTCGCAAAGTTGAGGTGCTCCAGGGGGATGCGCCCCTCAAACCAGTTGTAGAGGTACAAGAGTTGCGCTCGCCGGCAACGCATCAGGATGTACTGCAAGAAGCGCTTTCTCTGAGCGTCTGTCCATAGGTCAAACTTTTAAGAAATTTGGGAAGTTTCTATTTCAGCAGGGGCAAATGTTTTTTATTAAGTTACTAGAAAAAATGGTTGTAAGAAAATTGCAAAAATGCTACATATGACAACATTCAGAGAAAAAGGAGATACCTCTGATATAATTAATTTAATTCTAGTAGCAGTCAAGAAAATGTTAATATGAATCCTTCCTTGGCTACAATTTTGTGAAAGAAAGTTACTGATTGCATGACATTTTACGCCATTATGATAAAAAAATAAATAATAAAAAGCAGGATTGTTATCGCATTTTTCATTAAAGGAAAACCGTTAGGATACTGTTTGGACTTGAATGCCACCACTGGAATATCTATGGATTTGGTGGCTACAGTATTTCAAGCTTTGACGTTAGTTAATGTTGGCAGTTACTGCTGAATTCTTTTCAAAAGAAATATATTAGCTATGGAGCAGTACATCGATTTGTAAAATTTCAAAGACATTGTTGTTTAATGACACAATACAGACAGACATTGTATTGCATCGAAGCATATGATTTGCAGGAGCATCGCCAGACCACTTTGAAAGAAGGGGGGGGGGGGTGTGACAACAATTTTGCTGACAGAACATTTGTGCTATTGTTTTTGTCGGACACCAGACTTTGCAAAATCGAAAATGGGCTATCATGGACAGTATCGGACAATAGGTGCTGCTCTTCCACCCGGCAAATTTGCTGACGGGGACACGATTATGCAGACAGGACAACGATTTTAGCTGAGAAAAACAATTAATGGAGGGTGTTACACCCCCACACCCCCCTCTAGCTAGTTTGTATTGATGAAGAATTTGTTGAAATCTTTAGCTTTAGCATTGAAAATTTAGAAATCACAAGATTTGCGTTGGCTGTGGATACGAAATAACAATTTGTGATGATTAAAAGTGTGAGCGTCTGTTAAGTGTTTGCTGGTCCCAGAGGGCCAGCCTAGTGTCCTCTTTGTACCTCACTGACTGACTCACTGACCGACTGGAACTTGTGAGCCTGGAAGTGCTATCGTATAGGACTACCCCATAACGCCAGTGAAAGGGCTGAATCTGGCCCATTGTGTAGACTAGATGCATGCAAAGACAGTGAATAGCCATTCTGAATCAATTTCATGGAATTTTGTGTACTCTGGGACCAGTTTTACTAGACTTGCCTAGTCACGTTTTTTGTTGTTAGTGTTAAGCAGCATTTGTGTTAATCTTCCAAGCTTACCCAATGGCCTATTAGTTCTCTCCTTTCTACAAATATCTGTCGAGAAAATTGAAAGGGTTAAAAATGAAACGATCCAGATCACATTAATGATTTGTTCTCTCTTCAATTGTTTACAATTTTGTGCACCTACAATCCCGGCAAAATCTCGCTGGCCCCCTCCCCTGGCCCCCGGCCGATGTTGTCTCTCATTGCGCGATCTGTGCTCCAGCTGAAGGTAACAACACTGACCGGGGAAGCAGGGGAGTGGGGGACTGGGGGAGGGTAAGTTTATTGTCACGAGTTCCAACCAGTTTGGCCGGGATTGTAGGAGAGAGAATGCTTAAACCATGGTTACTTATTATTGATAATTGCCAAGATGATTAGCTTCGCCTTCGCATCCCACCACCTATTGCTGGCCACATTTTGTAGAAGCTTCAACCAGTCCTGATCCCTGCTACACATGGCTAAGCTGCCGCAACTATGGACGGTCTATTCCTTCCTCCATGGTGCTATTAACAAGATGAATCAACTCCAGCACTGAAAACTTTGAACTCAGAAATTCTCCCAAGTTTGTGAAATTCCAGCTTATTACCTGATGTGTGCTATATTCAAGGTTGGATATGCTCAGAATTTCTCGGGTCTGAGTCCCAAGGTTCCCAAGACTGGATGTGATTCAAATTGTTGCTGGTTCCCTCTGCCACGACAGTGGTGGCTTGAGCAAGCTAGTCAGGGATCAGGACTGGCAGGTTGCATCAGTAGAACATATTCCAAATCCAGTTTTGGACCTGGGGCACATTCCAGTAACACAAATTTGCATTATACTAGGCCATTTATTGAGTGTGTCAACCATTTTGGAAAACATAGGAAAGGACTCTGGAAGACCGTTAGCCTCTGTTTTTAACGCTCGCCATGTTGGTGGCAAGCAGTCCCTCATGAGCAAATGTTACCAATGTTGGCAAACGTTTGCATCGTTAGCGTTAAGTGGAATGCATTCCCGGTCAACTCATATTTTTACTCATTCTAAAGCAAAGGACGGTTCATACTTCACGCGAATACGAATGCGAAGTGAATCTGACGTCATGAAACGTTAGCTGTAAAATTTGCCGGAGTTGAAATGTGTTCATCATTTGCAAATTCGCAGTACCAATACTTGCGATGACTTCACAAATTCGCTTTCGGGCTAAGTATGAACCAGTCTTAAGAATTCATTCAACGTGGACTTTTGGTGCTTATGTTGGGCGCAATCGGCGGACCTGCGCTATCACAAGATCACGCAGAAATGCAGTTGCGCGATCGGTCGGTCCTGTAGGAAATCTCAAAATTTACTCCCCCTTTTTCAAAAGAATCCTCCAATAGCTTTAAATTAGAAAGAAAAAGGTGATCGACTGATGGCGGTGAGATCGACTGATGGCGGCACGATCTACCGATAGAACAGCGCCGTCAACCGATATGATGGCACAGATCCATCGACCGCGCCCAACACTTACACCACCTTACATCTCAGTTGACATGAAAACTGACTTGACTTCAACATAATCCTCAAGTACCTGCTCATTGGACGGTTTGTGAAGAATCGGCGTCCACTGACTTTGGTTGGTCTTCATCTTCAGCGTCTGGTAATTCCCCTCGCTAGCCAACGGCGCGATCAGGGCGGTCTTCTTGGCCGACTTAGCAGCTCGCTCGGTGGGGTAGACAGGTTCTCGGAGAGAGGCTAGTGGTGCTACACCATTACGATTGCTGGGGGTGCCATTCAGTCTCGAGTCTTTTGCTTTTGCTGCCATTTCTGGATCCTGTCTAAAGACAATCAATCAACTTATCATAGAAGAATATGAGATGTGAATTTGTAAAATATGACGTTGGCTTATCTAGCAACAGTTAAAAAAACCTGAACAACTAATGAAGAAGTCATCAGTATTTATCTGGAAATCGTCTGATTTTCAAAGCAACTGTATGCGGCGGCGTAAACTGAACTGAACATGTGAATGCATGATGTTCAATTGCAACTTTAAAAATGCAATCCTTCCAATTTCCTAATTTTAGTTAAACACAATTTAAACTAGAATAGCCAACAATAACATGATCTGGCGACATGTCCGAATGATAAGTAGGCCTAGGGGGTCAATCAAAGACAAAGTTACTTAGGCTATTCGAATACACATAGCAATTGACATACGACCCTTACCCTGCTGTGCAGCATGCACAAACCTTTCAAATTTCAAGTTCAACTGTCTGTTGAACCATGGAGGAAGAACACTACTGCTTCGATTTCGAATCAAATCGTTTACAACAGATCACTCATTTCCATCATTTGAAACGAACTTTATCCTAATAATACCGCTCGATTCGGCACTTGATTCCACAACACTCCTTGAAAAACCCTTGACATTTGTGTCTACGGATTCGAAAATACTCGCTCCGTCGATCACAGGTTTGTGATCCGAAAGAACACTCGACCTTTAACCCCCGACTCCTTATTTGAAAAGAGCTATAGTTTTCTGTTTACTGCATACGATCCGGGCCATACAACGGCAAATCGGCACAGGCCGGGCGATATGCGGTAAATTAAACATAGATTTGGAGTAGCGTCGCGTTGGCTAGACAACCAACCGCAGGCTGTGCAAGGTGTTTCATAAAGCACTGAATTTATACAACCGAAGGCTTTTCTTATTAATTTTGTTTTTTAGGTGATTAATTTGGGGTCCATTTCCCCCTGTCCCTGCTTCTTCAGACATCTCAGATTATGTAACTCTGGTGCACTCCTTAATTGTAGTCATCCTCCAAGAATGATCATGAATTAAATTACCTACCAAAACAATAAACAATTATAGGCTTATAATGTTTCGTTTTGAATTAATGAGAAACGTTAGCCTATATCGGAGGGAGATGTAGACTCAATAAAAATGACGCTAGCATGCATCTTGCGGGAATTAAACAAACGCTTATTGTCGCTTATGCGATGATGGCGTGTGTTTTTTTAGTTGTAAGTAGTCCTCATGCATGTTTTCAACAATATTTCAATGTTAATAATAAATGTCCAACTCCCCGACAAAGCCTACTCCTCGAGCATAATAGTAGAATTATTGTAGTTTAATGTACTATACTTCACATAGGCCTTGGCAGTCCGAAGTTTCAACAAATGTCTTCTATTATCATCACAACTGCGGGCATTAAAAAGCTGTTGAGAGAGTTAAAACCACAAAAGCACCAGGCCCTGATGGCATCCTTCCAACGATCCTGAAGGAATGTGCTGACAGTGTTGCTCCACTCCTACAACAAATTTTCCAGAAATCCATTGATACTGGGGAGTTACCAGACGACTGGCTCAGGGCTAACGTCTCACCTATCTTCAAAAAAGGAAATCGTTCAGATCCATCAAATTACAGGCCAATTTCACTGACATCCATCCCTTGCAAGTTGCTCGAACATATCATCCACTCCAACATCATGTGTCACCTTGATCAGTACAACGTTCTCAACAATGAACAGCATGGGTTCCGCCGGTCGATCGTGTGAAACCCAACTCACGGACCGTAAACGACCTTGCTAAAATCCTAGATAACCAAGGACAAGCCGATGTAATCATCATGGATTTCAGCAAAGCGTTTGACCTAGTTCCAGATCAGAGATTATTGTCAAAGCTGAAACATGTTGGGATCTCTGGCTCTCTACTCCACTGGATCAACACTTTCCTTACAAAAAGATCTCAACAAGTAGTCTTAGAGGGCAGTTCATCCAGTTCAATAGCTGTGACATCAGGAGTGCCCTGCAGGGCACTGTTCTTGGACCGCTACTCTTCATCTTGTATCTAAACGACCTTCCGGAAGGAATCTCATCTCAAGTGAGACTTCTGGCAGATGACTGCATATTATACCGTGAAGTCCAAACTCCAGAAGACAAGAAGAAACTACAAAACGACATCGATACCCTTTGTAACTGGGAGTCCAAGTGGCAGATGCGATTTAACGTCACCAAATGTTATGCCATGCACATGACCCACAAAAGGAAACCTCTTCTGTCATCTTACAAGATAAACGGCAATCCTCTCCAAACAGTCACAAATCACACCTACCTGGGAGTAGAATTAAATAACAAACTGAACTGGGCCGAACACATAAGTAACTCTACTACTAAAGCAAACAAAGTTCTTGGACTGTTGCGCAGGAATCTGTTCAGCTGCTCCACCAAAGTTAAAGAAACTGCATATAAGACCCTGGTCAGACCCAAGTTAGAATATTGCGCCAGCATATGGGATCCATACCATCAGGACCACAAAAATAAACTTGAAGCTGTCCAACGCAGAGCGGCCAGGTTCGTCTGTAAGGACTTCAGGCGCACAAGTAGTGTCTCATCCATGATCACCCACCTCGGATGGAAATCATTGGAGGAACGCAGAACCATATCCAGACTAACCTTGCTCTACAAATCCATTCACCACAAAATCGCAATTGATGTTGATCAGTTCCAAGTTGATTCCAAACGGGATAAAATGTCAACTAGAAAATCATCTTCATTATCCTTTGTTCACCCTACATCTAAGAAGGACTGCTACAGATACTCTTTCGTACCAAGAACAACAGCTCAGTGGAACCTACTTCCTACAGAAGTCAGGAAAGCTACTTCAGTGGAGTCCTTTAAGTCAAGACTCCATGAGATGCAGTTGTCTTCAACACTAAGGGGGCCTACTAACAAAATTGTTTAGGGATGCTGCTAGCCACCACGCGCCTGCAACCGTATATCCCATAGTGGAGTTTGCTTGCAGTAGGCCTACGCTACAGATACAGATAGGCCGATTGTCTTTTTTCCCCGGCCGTATGCATTGGAAACTTAACGAAATTTTGACCAGCAAATTAACGCCCTCTTGTGATGCACGAAAGCTTAAATCTGCAATAGACTGTTTCCCGGCCCATTTTTGAAGCCCGAAGGACAATGAGGTCAGGGACCCAGACTAAAATCTGCATGTGTTCCACAGAATGGCGGGAATGCAGTGCAGTTGAAACTTAATAATTATCGCTCAGTACGTTTAGAATAAGATACTGCCACTGGCTTTCTACATTGAACGTCTCCGACTATTCTCGAACGGCTTGCCCGGGGCCGGCCGAGGCCGGCTACGGTGGCATGGATCGAGCGACGGCACTTTCAACAACTCGATTAACACTAACAGCGGTCCCGTCGTCGGCACGTGGCATGCATACTACACAGCTACACTGGATGTCATCAGAACTTGACAGACCCGCGATAAAACGGGCGCATTGTGAACACTGTCCGCAACCAGAAACCACGGTTCTTCAATTCAAGGGCCGTCGAAAGGACGTGAAACTGAAAGAGTTTTCGACGAAACGACAATCAAGGCTTGAAAGGTAGGCCTATTAAAGGCTTCAATTCAGGAAACTGAATCTCACATTGAATTGCATAGGCTAGGCCTAGGCCTACAGTTTTGCCCCGCTGTAGCGTGAATATCCGACTCCATGAAATATGGACTCATTGGTAGTATTGCGAATGCGTAAGTACGATAATATGCTATTTTTAGGATCATAATGAGAGATTTACCTGTCACGTGCGAGGGATTAGCCAATAATAGGGAAAAGGAGTCCGATTTTCATAGGAGTCGGATTTTCATATGACCGGCCCTATGTAATTTAAAGGCAAGGTTTGGTGCAACACTGTTTGCTATAGCTCTATGGTCCCACTGATTCGTGTGTCAGCAAAAGTGCACTTACACGTTATCGTTCACAAATGACTTCTACTACCTTGAGCAATCGTATTCTAATTCCCATGACACTGGTTTTTGTAATTTTGAACTGTATTTTGGGTGAAATGTGATTTTCTTTGTGGGTTTTCCACCGTTGGTGTCTTGCGTACCAACGCGGTTCTGTGCTTTCGGTAATACAGAATTTTTCGTGTTGTGTTTTAACGTTGTCTCCTTCGTTTCAACAAAATTGCTCTTTTACACGACATTCCCATGATCGCATCGCCAGCTATTAAGATGAGTCCAGATTCATTCACTTAAAAGAGGCTTTTCGTTCTCTTACGAGACGAGACATCAGTTAATACCATTGTGTATTATATCAACTTCGCATGCCGCACCGGTTAAACACGTGCTCTGAGATATTGGAAATGCTAACTAGGCCAATAAGGACCACGGGCAAGTTTGCAAGGATTTACGAGTGCCAATTAAGTCGTGGCTTGCAATTGCAGCTGCAGCGTTGCCAATCCAAGTGCTCTTGCAAGATATAGCACCGGACATCAGGTATAGTAACTGAAGTCAACGTACGGGCCTTCACCCAACACTTAATTTCTAGCAATACATTTCTAGAAAATGATTTAAGGGAATATACAACATTTGCAAACATCGAAAAACAAAACTACCATTTTTTTTTCAAAATACCTTACAAGGACGTTGGTAAATGACAGTCTAAAGCATCCTGTAAAATTATGGCACCATGTGTGAAGTTATTTTCAAGAAAAGTGGTATTTTGTATAAATACCACCGTTGGAAACTATTTTTCAACTACTTCTCCAAATTTACTCCAGATTTTGTTTGCTATTGGTTACATGTTCATGAACGGGTGCAGGCCAGTTAGATTGGTTCCATTACCTTACAATTTTCCGGCATCTATAAATTGATCCATTTCATCTTTAGTGGAGTCTGGGAACCAGACTACTTGAACATTTTTGTTTTTCTTGGTTTCCAGTATTTTCGAACACAAAACTTCAAACATGCCAGTGTATCAATATTTGATCTATTATACTAACCCCTCAAAATAGTTCATTTCTGAAAATTACAGCAAAAGCCACTGATGTACATTCCCTTTAACGTATACAGGTTTTTTTTTAGTGATTGAGGGAGTTGTATCAATGCCATTTTCTTTACTTAATTTTTTATTATAGCTTTTTGCCATTACCAATTCTTCGTGAAAGGTAGGTCTTAGTTTTGAGGTCACTAACAGGAACTGGGCTGATCTCCCTCCATGAATAAATAAATAAATACAAATTAAAAGGCAGACGTTAACGTTATACACGAATGCGATGCTCATCATACCCAGCTACATAATTATTTTGATGCCTATATATAGGCGTTAACCACTAGGATTTTCGCGCAGAAGCAGCCGGCCATTTTACGATCAAGAATTCTGTCCGTTATAACAAGGGAAGCCTGACGCATACCTTAACATTTTCCCGTGCAAAGTAAATTCGCAAAGCTGTTAAGTGCCACTCATGTCGTATAATGATCGGTACCAAGCGCCATATTGACCGCAAGAAAATTCGATCAAGTGGCTTTAATGTATACATCAGTACCGTATGGTTTGATGATATCCTTCAATCATCCCCGTATAATGTGAAACTTCACATCCCAACTTACAGTGGCATGGTACTGGAAAAACTAATTAGGCTTTTAAAATGCAACGCACAATGCTATATCCATGTAATTTTCACACCCGTGTTTTGATGGAATATCGCGTACCCGTACCTAGCTAAACATTTAGA